GCTGTGCATCCCTTGATCAAACACGTATCACCCCAAATTGTACTTATTTATCCACAGGAATACAGTCTGAGGACATCTAATCACCCCTAGTTCCTAGCTCAGGCATTTAATATATGTATGCTGAGTGAAAGACTAAAGGTTACTGCATCGAGTTGGGCTCTTGAAGTTAGAATTCTGTCACTCTTCTATGTTAACAAGATCCCACAGGTGACTTAAGTATGAGTCAGGCCCTTGGGATGTAACTCTTGGTGCTGAGAGAGAGGTTCCAAAAGGACCTCATGAGCTGGTGTTTTTGTCACATGAAGATAGTTAAGCACGCAAACACCTAGCCACATTCCTCTAAGTGGAAAAGTGGAGAACAAGAAAGACCTAAGGACATTAGAGGGAAACAAGAAAGAAAGTCCTTAGCATGCTTTTTATGATACAGCTTTTCAAAGCTCTGCAGTGCTATCAAAGACCCAATATCTCTTTGGTTGCTAATATTGCACTTTCCTCCTGGGAATCACTTCTTCCTGCAAGGTCTTTCTTTCTTTCTTTCTTTCTTTCTTTCTTTCTTTCTTTCTTTCTTTTTTTTTTTAGTCTCCCCACATTAGAGCTGCCTCTTGCCCCTCTGTGTTACCTGGCTGCTCAGCTTGGCGGCCTTCTTGGCCATTTCAATGTCTGGACGACCCAGCATGCTTAACCCATGGCTGCCCTCCTTCCGGTGTTTGGCTCTGTACTCCACCTGAATCAAAGAAAACCAAAATGGGCAACACAATCTAGGTGGTGAGTGCTGTGTATTTCCTGGGGACAGGGGCCACTGAGGACCTGGTACATTTTAACCACACTCTTACCTCGCTGGCCTGTTTGGCTGCCTGCGTGGCCTTCTTGATGTCTGGCCGATCGGCCACTGTGGTATAATGCAGGTTTTCTTTGGCATCTTTTTTGTAAGCGACCTTTGTTTGGCGAAGAAAAAAAAATGTTTACTCACTTGAAAGAGAGGCTATCATTCCAAAAGTCCTCATTAAGTACCGGGAATATTTTTCTTGAAACTAAACCGATCCTACTACCAAAGTTTTTTTAAACTATCAGATATAGAAATTAGGGTGACCCCTCCCTGGAAGCAATCCAGCACACACCAAGGGTGGATCGCGGGCTCAGGGCGCCCTGGGAGAGTGTGGAGAGGAGACACTTACGTCGCTCTGCTTCTTGGCGACCTCCATAGCATGTTTCACCTCTGGGGGCTCCAGCATGATGGAATAGTTGGATTTCCCTTTCTCCTTGACAAACTTCTTTTTGTAATTTGTCTAAAAAGAGTCAGAATTATGTAGATGAGCAGAGGAAGCTGGAAATAGAGTTGATTTACTTCAAGAACTTTGAGAAGATCTCCAGGAAAATCCATGGCCCTCCATTGTGGCATCATCTGGAACTTGGGTCTCTGATCCACATTGCACTTCTCCCCTGTCATTTCTGTCCTGGAACCCAGCACTTGAACCACACGCTAATCTTTGGAGAACTGACTACAAGGAAATTAAGCTCTTTCATTCACCATTTCTGCCTTTTTAAAACATATGGAACTATAGAGAGTTCATAAAATATAACACTATGATTATTCAAGCATTACTGATAAGAACAGAGAGGGCAGAGATGACTGAGATACAAAGAGGTGATCTGACCTCGCTATAATTGTTTAGCAGTTTAATGGTAGGAGAGGCCAATCTTCATCAGCAGTACTTCCTCCCCTGAGTAGCAGTAGGTTAGTAACATCTTATATTGCTAGATAACATGTCCTGTGGCAAAACCCACATCTGCCATCATTGCTGTAATTGGAAAGCTAATGACTAACGAGTCATCCTTTAAACCAGAGTTCAAAATTCACAGACAGGTATTGATGGTAAGAGTGAAGGGACATGAAGGAAAGCGTTTGTAAGCAAACAGGCAGCCTGTGGTCTTTTGCTGCAAAGTGGCACAGCTGCTGCCAGGGTTCCGGGGGCTGGTCACTTACATCGCTGACATGCTTGGTCACTTTCTTGACGTGAATGGTATCCCGGGTCTCTGGCAGTGTTGTGTACGAGCCCTGGGCCAAGTGCTTCTTCACATGGTCCTTGTACTTGTTCTGAGGAAATCCACAGAGAGCTCGTTAGCGTGTCTGGCTGGGAACCAGCCCTGGACGGGAGGAGAGCCCATGGCTGCTGGAGGGTTACCTCGGACACCAGGTGGCTGACAGTCTTTGCCAGTAGGATCTGAGGCGTGTCAGGCACAGCATGGCAGCTTCCTCTTTCCTTGACATGTTTCTCTTTGTATTTCAGCTGCAGGGGTGGAACAAACATATCTTGATCTCCTCTGGGTCTCCCGCCATGTTTCTATTAAGCTCCCAAGTCACTAGATGGAGCTGGGAGAACTAGATACAGCAGGAACCTTAAACTCAGTAAATGATAAGATGTTGGGGAATCTTGAGAAATATACCAAAAAAATTTTATTTTTATCTTTTGTAAGTTGAGGTTTTAGTAACAATCAGAATGGGTCTCAGGGTGAGTGCCAGCCTTAGTTCAAAGTGCTTTCAAATATGTCATTGGACCCTCCCCCAAATCCCGGGAGGTGTGACGATCCCTCCTTTCCAGATGAGGAAGCTGCGGCACAGGAAGAATGTGATCCCACAGAAATGAATTCGTTTCCTTATCGAATCCAGCCAGGCCTTTCGATTCCCAGTTCTTGCTGTGTGAATTATCTTGTGGTACAGTATAAATCAAGGCTGGTCACCTGGATTTAATAGCTTCCCACTGCTGCCACCCTGCTCTGCCCTGTCACTGGTGTTCCCTGTGGGCGAGGTCATAGTTCACAACTCACATCCGAGCTTCTACAGCAACAGCTCTTCTCTGTCCTGTGCTGGGGACTGTGCTGCAGAGGACAGCCCTGAGTGAGGTGAGGCATCATGGAGGGGATGGGATACTTACGTCACTTTCTATTAAGGAATTCCTTAGGGCCAGCACCATGTCTTTATCATCGGTGACAGAAAGCTTGCAGCCTTTGAGGAACTCTCGGTCCAATTTGTATTCAAACTGTGACAGAAAGCAGAGGAAGATGGGGTAGGGTGACGGGCACAGAAGAAAGCCGGCATTTGATTAAATCCATAAGGGGTTCTCCTATTAAAGAGGGCTTGACACCAGAATGGGGGTGGGGCTTCCTGGACCCTCATTTAACACTGGGCTCCAACTTTCCAGTCCCAAGGCCAAGGCCAAACCTCCCTCAACCCCAACCTGCTCCCAGTCCCGCCCTGAAGCGTTTGTGTCTGAGTCCAGCCATGGGAGACCAGGCTCTGCGGCCAGTGTGTTTCCTGAGGTGCCTTCCATTCCTCACAAACCTCTTGTCCGTTTTGGCTCTCAAATGAGCTAGGGCTAACACCTGTGGCAGTGGTTACTACAGATAATTATTAATGTTCGGTCTCAGGCATGTCCGTCCAACTCACATCGCTTTGCTGCAGGGATGACTTGGCAGCCTGGATGAAGTCCGGTCGGTCAGGGATCCACTTCCAGTGGGCCTTGTTGGCTTCATACAGCTTCTTGTAGTCCAGCTGTTTTTCACAAGAGGAAAACAATTCACGTCATTCAGTGAGCAGAATGCCCAACCCCATACACCACACAAAGGGACTCATCTTGCGTTTTAACACACAACAAATTATGGTTCTTTATGCAGGCGAGAGCCCCAATTAAAATTTCTCTACAATTTATGCAGCTTGTTAGCCACTCAAGAGGTCATCTTGTGGGACCCTGTGGTCTCAAAATCAGGGCTAAAAAATTCAAAGGCCTCCAGGTGAAACGATTCTACAATCTTTCTAACTCTGCCCATGTAGCTTAATCATCTTCAGCACCAAGTACTTTCTATTTCTAACTAAATTCAGGCTTAATTAAAAAAAATTTAAACATTTATAGTAAAGTGTTTTGTGCCAGGCACTTTTCTAAGTGCTTTATAAATGTTAACCCATTTAATCTTCATAACTGCATGAAATCGACAGCTGAGGAACTGCCTAGAATGCTTAAATAAACTGCTCAAGCTGAGACAGCTAGTAAAAGGTGGAGCTGGGGTTCAAACCCAGCCATCTGGCTTTAGAGGTGCTTGTGTACTCGTTAGATTTTCATCCCAGCTGGAGAACTAGCTGCCTCAGGCCAAATCTGAGGCCCAGAGTATCTATAATTTAATTTGAGAGTCCTGGGGAACAGCCCTCTCTATTAAGCAAATTTCTTTCCTCATTCTCTTTTCCTCTCTCTCTTTTTTCTCAAGGTATAATCTGCACACAATAAAATGTGCATGCATCTATGTATTATACTATTTGATAAGTTTCCCTTGATTGTATTGCTAAATTTTTCAAACATACAACAGGGTTGCAACAATCCTGCACAGAATATCCATACGCTCACCGCCCGGATTCTATGATGTACATTTTACTGCATTTGTTTTTTCCCACATCCATCCTTCTACCCATCCCTCAATCCATCCTCAGGACACCTATAAGCTACCTGCCAGCCCCCAACAGCATGCAGTTTGCTGGCCCTAATAAATGTATGTTCTTTCTGGCACTATGGGTACTAGTTGGGTTATAGTGGTTTCCTTACATAACTATTTGTATATTTTTAAAAAGTTAACATTCATTTAAATGCACAAACATGTTTCTGTGATTGAGGCTTTAAAATGCCCCACTAAAAAAGAAATGAGTCAGCACAGGGCGATCTGAGCAGGAGGAAGGTCTAGGCCAACTCTTGACAGTAATCAAGTGACTGAAAAAAATTATTTTTTCATCAGAAGCAGGCTCTAGGGTTTGAGGCAGGAGGAGAATATGGAGGGTGGAGGAAATGAAAGATGCTGAGACACTTTCCAAAATGCAACTTTCATTTCAGAATTACATCTCCTATTCCTCAGCCACCTAGCATGAAGGCTGAGTGGGTGACATCCATGGCATGGGCTAGGTCACCGTTGCTCTTCCCCCATTCTCCTCTGTGAGCCCCAAAGGTGGCACTTAGATTTCAGCGTCATTACGCATGCTCCTGGGGTCTAACTCTTGATGTGGACTCACTAGATCTCAGTCACCTGAAGAGATGTAAAAAAAGGTCATGTGTGTTGCAGACACTGATAAAGATGCCGTTAGGCTTGGGGAAATTTCCAGAACTTACATTGGTGTTGACTTTGTAGGCGTCCTTGGCTGCTTTGATATGAACAGCATCTGGCTTAATGGTGCAGTTGGACTTATTTCTTTGGTAAACTTCTTTGTATTTCAGCTGTGTGAGGAACCATAGTGATAAAGTTAATTTTATATATATATATATATATATATATATATATATATATATATATATATATCAGCCCACCAAGTGTTTTTAAAAAACAAGAAATTAAAACCGTGACGATAGTACACAATGTTCCTTAAAACAGAAAAAATCTGTGTGAAACATTGATACAGTCATGCAGACATGCACTTTCCTGTCTCAGGCCTTCACACCAGCTCCCCAGGTCACACTAACAATGTTCACCAGTGTCACCATAGGATTTATGTTCCCTGAGTGTGTGCTGAAAGGACCAGTGGCAGAGCTACCCTTGTGTGTTTTCTCTTCTCCAAATCACAAAACCTTAAGTTCAGAACATCTTGAAAACTGCTGACAGAAGAGAAGCTATCCCCAACCAGATGGCATGATCTTGCCTGCCTTCTGTGCCCCCACAGTTCCAGCTGTTATCATGCCAGGCTGTAATTATTTGTTTCTCTGTCTATTCTTTCCAATTAGCTGAACCACTCGAGGGCAATGATTGGGTGTCATGCCTCATCTCATTCCTAGTGCCAGGCACATAGAAACCCAATAAATATTTGATGAACAAATGAATTGACGATTGGATACAGTCATCATTATCATCACTGCTAGAGCCACATCTAGCAAGTCTGAGCATGGTGGGTTTGGATGGGAGAGAGGGACAGGGAAGGCCTTGACACTGAGGGCCCATTAGGTAGTCAGTCCCCTATCCCTGCCTTGGAAATTCTACCTTCACTCAATTTTGCTCTCCTTCAATAGAAGGGTCCTGGAGCCCCATCTGGGCCTTCTCACTAATTGTTGCTGAAAGATCTTAGGTTTTAATGTGGTTAAATCTGAAGTACAATTGTTCTAAGGAAGCCCAGTGGTATTACTAAATGTGCTTGATAATAAGCGTCACAATTTTCTGTGCTTTACCATAGACCTAGTAAATCACTATCTTTAGGTATAAGGCTTAGAAATCCATATGTTTCATCAATATCTCAGGCTATTGTTATAATCATAAATGGATGCAGAAAATCCTTCATTTTTCTACAGTGAGAGGAATTGCCCTGCTCCACGTAAAGGAGCTACCTGATGGAAGTTTATGAATACCTGAAGTTCATGTTTGAAGTGCCAAAACTTATTTTAACATGAAAAATATGAAAACATATTTTAAAAAATTGTATACATTTTTGCCTTCATAAACAGTGCACTGAATGTATTTGACATTTTTCATGGCAACTAAGGGTCAACATTGTGAACATGTTTATTAATCTACCAAAGAATTCCTGAGCACCAGCCATAGTCAAGGCTTTGGGGTAGGAATGAGCTATTTCCACAGATGCCTTTACTATTCTTTCTGGTGCCCATGTAGCCATGGAGTTCTTTAAAATATGTAATCTATTTTTTAAAACAAAAATCATGATAGTTTTCAACCTTAGAATCTAGCTATATATATATATATATATATATATATATATATATATGAAAATTTATGAATACAATTTCTCCTGAAATTCGGAGTATTAGAATTTGATGGCTACTTTGTTTTTCTTAGTCAAGATAAAGCTTAGAGCATATTAATATCATTTATGGCATATTGCATTTTTCAAAATGGTTTCTACAGCATCGTCCTCCCCCCATATGCTTTTCCACAATGTAACCTTGTCATTTGTTCATCCAGGGTGGCATTTATCTCTTCACCCATTGAACCTGGGTGTCCACTGTGCCCAGTCAAATATGGCAAAAGCGACTCACGTCAGTTCTAGGAGTAGTCCTTACGGGCTGGAAGCTTCTATTCCAGCCTCTCGGAAGCCACCCACTGTGCTATGAGATGTCCCAATCACATGGAGGGGTTGCTGTGTATACCCAGCTGAGCTCGCAGCCTAGAGCCATCATCAACTGCCAGCCATGCGAGTGAGCCATCCTGAGGTCCTGGCCCACATGAGCCTCAACTATGTGCCAACAGCATGTGCAATAAAAGAGTCACTTGGCGATGGCCAGTCAGCTCACAGAATCATGAACAAAAAGAGGTGATTGTGGTTTCAAGCCACTAAGTGTTAAGCAGGTTGTTACACAGAAATAGATAATTGGACCACGGTTTGTTCTATCACATTAGAGAGGCTAAGGTGAGAGGGACTACAATGCTATTCTGGTACTTACATCACTGACTTCATCTCTGACCTTCCTGACATGTAGCAACATGGGTGTGTCATGGATTGTGGTGTAGCCTCTGGGTCTGGCCTTGTTGTATTCCAACTTATAAAGTATCTAGAGGAGATGAAAAAGCAGAAAGAGACAATGTTAGGCATCTCAATTTACAATGCAATATAATGTAAAAATATAAATGCAAAAGTGTTTTTTTTTTTGAGTGTACCGTATTTGCCGGCGTATAAGACGACTGGGCGTATAAGACGACCCCCTAACATTTCCACTCAAAATACAGAGTTTGTTATATACTCGCCGTATAAGACTACCCCCTCTTCCGCACACCTTCCACACACCAAATAAAAGGTAAAACAATATCAGATTTGATTTCAACATTTATATTTATATTCAAATGCTTATGACATGCAGGAAAACTGTCACAAGGCTGTATGTAATCAAACATATACATAAATCGCGATTCGCGATTTTGCACTATCATACTGGGTGTATGGTCGGCTGTGTGCGATTTTGCGAGTGTGGTAAAATCGCATAACAGCAAAATCGCATAACAGCCGAGCATACACCCAGCAGCGCTGCTGATGCCTGAACGGTATGTGGAATGAAGTGGGCGGGCATCGGGAGGCCACTATGGCACGGGGCAAGCACTATGGGCAGTCTATCTGAAGTGTACCTGGCGTATAAGACGACCCCCCACTTGGAGGCATATTTTTCAGGGCCAAAAAATCGTCTTATACGCCAGCAAATATGGTATATAAATGAAAGACACATCTAGAAACTCAACAGGTGCTTTTTCATGTTTTCTGCTAAGGCCCCAGGGCCTCTAAAATGAGGTGCGTGCCAATTTGGTTGGAACAGTTCTTCATTGCAAAGGAAGGTTCCTGAGCATAGCACAACATTTAGCATCTCTGCCTTGCTCCCACTAAATGGCAGTAGAGCCTTCCAGACACTGTGATCATCTAAAATGACCCTTTACATTTGCAAATGCCCCTTGCATTGGAGAATCCATTCAGTGCTCCTTGTACTTACATCACTGATCTGTTTGTTGACTTTCGTGGTACGCAGGTGTTCTGGAGTGTCCACAATTGAGGTAAATTTGTCCTTAGATTTTTCATATTTTTTCCTGTACTGAATCTAAATTGTGGAAGAGAAGAGTTAACTCTAAGAAGTAAAAGAGAGAGCTTTACAGAATCTAATTTTCCTCCTGAGAGAGTCTCACAGCAAATAGTAGATGATACAAACCACAGATGTGGAGGATGGCGTCATGCTTTCTTTTTAAATCCTCTTTGAAAATGCTTAATATAAATCGGTATTTGACAGCAGTCATGCAATGGAGTAGCAAATAATAACAATAATAAAAATGATATTCGTAATATACTTTATACATATAGAAACTGAAGCCCAGAAGTGTTAAGAGACTGAGCTAAGGGCACATACAGAATGAATCTCAGAGCCAGGATGAGACCCGTGTTCTCTGGACTCTGACAAGTAATTATTCACTCACAATATGCTGCATCAAATATGTATGATCTCTTAAGGTGTGTTTCCATATCAAAGATGAAATGGATGTAAAATAAAAAATGAGTATATATCATTTTTAAAAAGACATTAATTTTTGTAATTTCCAAGTCATGATTTTTTTTTCCATGCACATAAGCTGTTTCAAGCAGTACAGATACAGAAAGCACAACAAAATTTCATGCATAACTATCTAAAGATCATATCAGGACCAAAAAAAAAAAAAGGGCAGGCAAATAGAATATTCATAGGGAGACCTCAGCCCCTCATTTCATGTGTTGATTTGATGTCAAACTGAAGTGATTAAACAAGTTGCTAATACAAAAGATTGATTAAAAACTTTTTTTGTGGAGGAACTATGGCATTTTATTAACATTGTATTCGGTAAACAATTATCATCAATGTTTTGCTGCTTCAGATTTACCTTTCAGCATATGATGGAAAGGTCGTGTGTGCTTCCATTGACCTTGTAGGAAGGTAATGTTATCAGCAACATAGTTAACATGTGTGTGACATGTGTGTAACATGTGTGTGACATGCTGGAAATAACCTAGCAAATTCAGCATCAAACTCAAGAGGGGCCATGAATATATCCAATATTCAAAGAGCTGCAGGCTAATGCTCATCTCTCCTAAACAGTACAGTTGTAGTGACCACTGAACAATGGTCAAATTAGATGAAGATGTAAATTATTCAGATATTTTAAATGCTGTTGAATCTACTTAATATCCTCAATATGTAAGGAATTTCTTTTTTTGGGGGGAAATATTTAAAAATATAAGGTAATGTTACACAAATTTGGAAATAAAGTTTGAAAAAGTCTCAGCTAATCTTGCTAGGAGCTTCAAAGGTGTCCGATGATATACAGATGATGGCTGTGGCACCATCCCAATTGGCCACAGCCAGACTTCATTTAGAAGGAACAAATATTTATGCAGCTTTATCATGAGAAACCAGCTTGGGCAGGAGGGCAGGGGAAGGAAATCCAGGAAAGCATAAGGTAAATGCCCCAAGACTTCTAAAGTCTCTTCACATCACATCCGAAATTACCTGGCTCCACATGTACGAGTTGTAGAGAGCAGTCAACATATCTGGACGCAGAATTTCATTACATCCTTGTTTCAGAAGCATCTTGGCACTAGACTTATATTTTCTCTGTTCATGCAAAGAGCAGTGAAGCACAAAAGAGACTTGAGAACATGGCTCTATATCCCAATCACCACTGAGTGAAGAGATGTAGGCAGATACACTTTATGTACTCACATATACGTGTGGGTGAAGACACCAAATACATTATAATGCCAAACCAAAATGACTGCAATCCTTGCAGCTGACCACCCATAGTCCTTGCAAGTGGGAAATGTTATAGCATAGTGCCTTATAGAATTGCCTTATAGAAAAGAAGCCATCACTAGAGTAGAAAAATACAGTAGGAAGTCTTTTTTCCTTCCATTAATTTGTTTCTTTGTTTCTGCTTTGCAACTCAATGTGCCGTTTACAACACAGGTTATAAACAGGCCCTCCAGGAGAACAAAGGGTGGGAGGCCCCAGCTTTTCTTCTCATCTTCACCACAGTACACGTGAGGACACAGAGCATGGACTGGCACACTCAAATAGCTCATGGGCTCTTTGTGTGGCTAGACAGATACTTTGAAACAGAACATCCCAATATCATAGGCAGAACCTATGACATCTTTGCAGCAGACAGGACAACATCTCATGAGAAACCTGGAGCACAATCCTGCCTGGGCTGTCCAAGCTGCCCCATCACAGTACCTGACTGATCTGGTCGCCTGCGATCTTAGCCAGCAGATGTCTAGGCTCATCGACTACCAGGTGGTATTTATCTTTCCGCTGCTCATAATCAGCTCTGTATTTTTTCTGCTCAGACATCAGATCAAATTATAGCAAGAGTACAACTTCAAGGCTACACATAAATGTCCCAAGAGAAACACTCCAGAGGGCAAGAAATAAGTCATTTTTGGAGGTGGGCCCTCAAAGCTTCCCAGGTAATAAAACAGGCAGCAAAGAAAATCAAGGGAAGGAAGATCTCCTGGAAAAGGCTGGAGCTTGGGATAGATTTCATTTATGACACCAAAATTGGGGTACCTTGTGCCTAATCACTTTCCATCTCTACATATGATGCCATTAGCTATGTTAGATTTATGACATCCTACATTGTATTTAAACTAAGGCACTGATAAGCTACAGGTCTACTATCTAAGACTGTGAGAATAAAAAAGACTATTCATGAGCAAATTCTCATAGTCTTCTAATGCTAGGTAATTTATTTGATTATAAAAGAGACCTGGAAATCCTCTGTGAATTTGAAAAATAGAAACAAAATATAACAAGACTGTATTCTAGGAAGCTACTAACAGTAATTCTTCCGAGTTATCCCGCCTGGAAATCTACTGAAAACGAACAAAATCATTAAAAACAACAAAAATAACAAAAGAAGTCACATATTGAAATAAATACACCATTGACTAGATTTCTATTTTTAGATACGTTTTACTAATTTGCTAACTTTGTTTTTTGAATTTATATAAATCTGTGGGAAATCCAAAGATAGAAAATTAAATATAAAATATCCAAACATAAGTTAATTCATAGTTTCTTATGTCACTCATTTTAAGCTAAATTTAACTTAAATTATTGTAGACAGTTCCAGGAAAGACTGGGTGGAATGTATAAAGGAATATTTTGGGTACAAATGGATACTTCTCTGCCTCAATGTGTGAGTAACAATGGAAATAAAATTGAATGTAGAATCACAGCTATCCCCTAAGGGATGGCTCTTCCAACCAGTGTCGTGCCTATGCCTTAGTAAGGGATCCTAAATTAACCGTGAACTTCTGTGTCTCCCAACTCTACACAATATCATGTTTAAGGGAGTTCAGCTGATAGTCAACAAAATCCTTTACCTCCTTGCTCTCGCCACCCAAAGTGCTGTGCTGCCCTATGCTAGTGCGAACAGAGGTGATGAAGCTATGGGGTCCTCACACCACTAGAGCTAGTCCCTTCACTTGTTCTTATTTGTGCTTTTGGCAGAGTCCATCAGATGGTGACAGTATAAGAATCTTTCCAAATCTTTGTCTTGAATGAACACTTAGAATGGCTTTCCTGTCATGTTATGTATTGGGTTGTAATCAAATAACTCTATAGACTTCTTAAGGAAACTAAACAGGATTAATTAGACCAGGTCATACATACCTCATTCACCAATTGAGTTGCATACTTGAAATGCCTATTGATGGGACAATCAGCTTCATACTTGAAATTCGACTTCATCTTTTCAAATACCTCTTTATACTTATACTAGAGAAAACAGAAAGTAGTTACTTGATAGCAGGCTGTGATTATCTTAAGGATGAGACATGCCATTTATCTTATCATATAATTGTGATAATTCATTTATAGAGCTAACAAGTAATTACCGAATGCTTACTCTGTCTCCCAAGGCAATGAAGGGACTACCCACCTGTATTTTTTCAAAACTCACCCGAAAATACATAATTTCATTGAATGGTAGACAAATAATAGATCTAGTTCCAAATTAGGCAAAAATCCCAATCAGTTCCTTCTTTATTTCTATATATTATAATGATTATTATTTTACTTTGAAAGTATTTTCATGTGCACTTGAAGGCATTTTTTAGTCCATTAACTTGAAATAGTTTTCCAGTAATCATTCAGATAATCATAATATTTTAGAGGAATGATGGGCTAACATCTAGACCACCACCTGTATTTAATGGTCCCATGGACTAAGAATGTTCCCCCACACACACAACGTTAAGGGATTGTAACAAAGAATATGTGACAGAATGAAGTCTAAAATATTAACTATCTGGCACTTTCCATAAAAGTTTGCTGACTCCTATTCTAGAACTCAGAGGAAGCTAATACAACTGCTTTATATTGGAAACAGGAAAATGAGGTCATTAAAACAAAGGTATTTGCCTCAAGTCACACATCAAGCTTGTGGATTGAAATAATCCCACTTTATAGTTGCTACCATGTCAATGCTAACAGCATAAACCACCTAGAGACATATTAATAGGGAGAAACTTCTGGAAGAGACTTGAGGAGTTATACTGAGATGGCTGTTGATCAGATTTACATAAATGATGGCTATAGTCAGTAAAGTCTGTCCTAAAAGAATTCCTAAGTACAGTGAACAATTCTGCACGTACTCCAATTATGGGGGGTAGGAGCAAGGATAAGGGTGGAAACATGAACAGCTATATCCTCAGTGCTAATGCTCTCTGTGGGCCCTGGAATAGGTTGACTGAATGAGTAGATATACCTTGCTGTAGAGAGTCTTGTTCTGTTCAGCCAGAGTGAAGTCAGGGGTGTCATAGGCATAGCAACCAATGCCCTTAAGCCAGGTCAGATCCTCTTTGTATTTCACCTGGGAGAAGAATATCATCAGAGAGTTTTAAGAACCTACCCCCAAATAGCTATAGGTTAGGATGGATACAAATAGAAGCTCCGACCGCTGAGGCATACAAGATAATAAAGTATTAAAGCAATTATTTAAAAGAACTTTCCAGTAATACTGATTTCAGCTCATTTCTATGGTGTAGTGTTGTGTTATATATGAAAAATTTTAATTTTAATACTAATTAAAGCAATTCAAATTTAACAGGCATAGTTTCCTAGAGAGGATATCATTAGCTTGGCAGCTGTATTTTCATCTATAGAGCTGAAATTTCTTTCTTAGTGAGCATTGTTACATGTCTTCATTGCCTCATGAAGTTATCTTCTCAATTGATCAAAAATAGGCTCTTGCTTAGATGAAGTATACCACTTCCAGTCATGTAATATGATATAAAACATTTAGAAGAAAAATTAGGTTTATAAACTTGCATGTATTTTTTTCTCTCCCAAATTGAAGTTCACTCATTTAGCAATGAGTTTCATGATTTAAACATCCATACATAAGAACTGAAATTGAGTCAAGTGTTTAATTAGTTTTTATGCAGTGTTTGATTTCCTGAGTGATATGGGTGTATGGATTTATATGTAAAAATAGAATATTTCAAGACTCACATCACTGACGGCATCAGTGACTGCCCGATGGTGGAAATTCTCTGGGTGATCAGGGATGGACCTCCAGATTCCCAGCTGGCTCATGTAGTTCTCCTTGTACTTCACCTGTGGTAGAAACACAAAGACAGCTATGAAATCTTACCCAGAGTTAATGTAAAAAAGTGTACTTGTCTCCTGAGAGTATTAGAAAAGGAAGGATACTTTTTAAAAAATGATGGTGGGTTATTGAGCCCCTGACAAATAGAAATATGTAGGGAACGTACTTTACTGATGTCGTCTGTGACTTTGCGATGATAAACAATGTCCAGAGCATCCTTCACAGTGTGGTATTTCCCTTTGGTCTTTTGAAATGTTTCTTTGTAGCGTAGCTGGAAAGAGAAATGGATTATGAAAAACCACTGAGTTAAATAATTGAGCTCTTAAACTCTCTTGAGTCTTCTCTTAGGTTTTCCCATGAATAAATTTAGGAGAGATTGACTCTCATTTCACATCCTGGAAGAAAAAAATGGACATTAGGAGAAAACTAATAAAATATGAATAAAATACGGAGTTTAGTTAATAATAATGTTTCAATATTGGTTCATTGGTTGTGACAAATGTATGATACGGAAATGTAAGATGCTAACAATAGGGAAACTGGGTGTAGGCTATATAGAAACTCTGTACCATTTTTGTAACCTTCTATAAATCTAAAACTACTTAAAACGTTTATTTAAATGTAAAACAACACAAAACAAAAGCTCATTTGGGAGGAAGGAAAACAAAACAAAACAACCTTGTTGAGCCCAAGACATACTAATGTACACGAAAAGGAGTGAAAACTTTAGTTTCTAAATGCTGGTATTAAAACGCCTTCTCCATGAAGCAATCCTGAAATTTTTTTTCATTATCATCTTTATCTTTGTGGTATTTCAGGAGACAACAGCTTTAACCTAAGAATGCTTAGGTTAACCTAAGAATACATAGAAGATGTATTCTTTAACCTAAGAATACACAGAAGATTCATCTCATTTACACAAGTTGAGGACTTTTCCAAGTATTCTGTTTTCAACCTCCAACAGGTCTTTTCTTTTTGGGTACCTGATCAAAAACATAATGATAGATGTCTTTTCTTTAACTTCAACTTTGTTTTTTCAGATGGATAATCTCATAAAACCACCTAGCTCTCCTTGTGGATAGGTAATCTGAGCTGAATGCCAGATGCTACTCTTGTTATTAATACATTGAACTAGTTTAAAGATCAGAGATACCAGTATTGATCCTAACAAAGCCCTAGGGATGGCACTGTCCAATGGCATGGTGAGCTGCAGGGGTCAATTTCCCGGGGTGGCCACCCCTAAAAAGTGCTGATGTATAGTTAGCTTGGTTCAAATTAATATTCAATGGTAACCTCGAAGTGATAAAGATGGGGATGTCACAAGAACACTAAGAATATTCCAGAGGATAGATTTTTGAGGGCAGCATGTAATTGTCTTAGCTTATATGTGAAGCAAATAGGCATTGCCTCTTTCCAACTAGCAGGCTCCTCTCAGCTCCAAATGCAAATTTGATAAAATTACGGAACTAGAATATTGTTCCAATCTGTTGTACCCTTTCACATTCCTGTTTCAGGATCATTGTCATCCCTCTAACATACCTTGAAACCCTAAAACAATGTTGCTAATTTGAGGGGTTCTGAGGTTGCCGGAGCTTTTGACTGAGTTTAAGTCCTAGAGATTCTTGTTCTGGTAATGTGTGCAATGCATTCGCATTTGGGTTCTGAGAAAACTGGTAAGGACTGGCCATCTACCCTGAGTTGATTTGTTTCATATCTCCATTAACAGATAATCCCACTACCATGAAAAAGCCCTCTTGTTCTTGATCATGCGGTATGGAAAATGAAAGCCTGCCCCTCCTAATTCTAACAAACGTGTCATTCACATGATTTAGGTGATAAATCAAAGAAAGGAATAAATGTTTTCTGAGCGTCAACTAAGAGCCCAGCACGGTGCTAGGAACCTTTATACATGATCTTGTTTATTCTAATTTAATTATCACAATTCTTATCCTTATTCCACACACAAGAGCACAGAATCTCAGAAAAATTAGGTAAACTATATAGAGTCATACACTAGGCAAGTGACAGCATCAGGATTTGAAACCACGTTTGGCTGGCTCCAAGAACATGATTTTATGGATAAATAACCATTAGTTGTCAAGAACCCCTAGGAAAGGCTACCAAAGAATTAAAAGAAGGGGTCATATTTTTCCCAGAAGAGCAATGAGAAGAACAATAGGCTTTTAGCATCTCTCAGCATTATTCTTAGCTACTTTGCCTAACTGGTATTGTTTGTGCCTTTTTCTAAACGTTTTTGTGTTTTTTCGTGATCCACGTTGTGGGCCAGGACTGCAATATCTTCCATTTCTTAGATAACTCAACCTCCGCTGTCCCTACCACAACAAAAGACAGAAGAGAGAGATGCGTACATCACTGGCATTCCAGTAAGCCTTCTTGGCCCTGATGAGGATCGGCGTGTCTGGAATCGGGGTGTACTTGTCCTTCATCTTTTCATACTGCATCTTGTACTTGTTCTAAGAAATAAAGACGGGAGAGAGAGACAAATTTAAGTTCAAGTGTTTTTATCCCTCCCAATTCACAGCCATGTCACAGAATCCAGCCCAGGGACAGTGTCTCATGCTCATTAGGAGGACAGTCATGCCTCTGTCCTTGCTGCTGCCGAGAATCCATTTATAGAAATGAGCTTTCTGATCAGGGATGGCAGGTGAAGGTTTTAAAAAATGATTTTCTTCCTTTAACCTAGGGCCTCCATGCCAAATTCTCAGCTTACCTCACTGACCATGTCCTTCACGTCCTTAGCATGCTTCAAGGCTGTGGTCTGGTTTCCAGCATGATGATGGGGTCGCTCTTTGGTGGCAAGCTCCACATACAGATACTAAACAATCAGAATAAGGGTCAGATGTTATAGAGATAAAACATTTCTTATTTGGTATTCAGCCTTCTTTATTCATTTCTAACCCTTAAATAAGAGCAGTGTCTAACTGTTGTCCTGATTTGTTTGTTTGTTATATGTGTTTCTGTTCATTTGTTGCTCTCTCTGCCTCACATTTGGAAACATATTTGCACTCCAGTTGTTAAACAGTCTTACTGTTGAGAATAGTTCAATCTAAATCCATCTAATAAAGAATGCCAATAAGAAGAACAGGAGGATTCTAATTGAGCGCTCAACATATTTTTTCCCCCATTTTTGTGTGAATGCATGAAATGTGGTTTCATTTGTCTGTGGATAATCAATAGGTCCTTTGGAAGGAATAAAGCAATTTAGTTTCACTATCTGGAGCCCACAGACCACTCATCCAATGACAAACATTGCATAGAACTTAGAAAAGTAGATATGGCATTACCTGCTCACGTAAAACAATGACAGTTATGATGGCCCAAACAAAACCTGCTTCTTGAAATTCATGGGCATGAGGCTGCATCAAGGACATCCACGTGTGAGAGGCTGCTACCCACCAGGAGTGCTCCAGGCACGCATAACTACCCATGTGATGCCAGCATGGCAGGCTTCTGAATTTTCACTTACTAATCTTACCTGACTCTGAATCTTTTGTCCTTGCTTGGCTCTTAACAAATCAGGAGTATCAGGAACTGGCGTGAAGATGGACTTCTGTTTCTTGCCTGCAGCTCTGTATACCAGCTGGACATAAAACAGGCATCACCATCATTTCTGCTTCATTGACATGTTCTCTGCTGATGCCTCTATTGCTTACATCATAGAAGACGCAGGGGCCCTCCCACTGCAACAATCTCAGTTTCTGCCCAATAAACCAATAATCGTTTACCTCCCTAGCCCTCCTTTTCTTTTTTCTCTCCTATCAAATTAAGAAACATTCTGTAGCCTTTCCAAGATTCAAGCCTCATGCAGTGTTCCTTCTCACCTGGCTCTCCCAGGACCCTGTTCCAGCAATTACACCCTTCCCCTCTACGTCTCCAACCCTCCTGTTTTTCCATCCCTCTCCCTTTGTCTGCAAACATACTCAGATCTCTCCCTTCATTAGGTTTCAACTTCTACAGACGGCCTTGTTCCTTTTTTTCGCAACCAAGTAGACTAGGTGTTTCTTCTTTTTCTCTCTTTTGATTAATTTCTCAGAGCGATAGTTTGGCTTCCACCCAACCCTTCCAATGAAGCCACTCTCAGTAAGACTCCAAAACTTTTACAATTGCCAAATCCAAGAATGCTTCTCTGTAACAATTGAAACTGCTGAGCAGTTTCATTCCTGAAAATTCTCTTCTCTACCTTCCATTCCACCATTCTCCTCTAGGTGCTTAGGAAACAGCTGCCTCCTCAGCTTCCTTCTGTGGTTCTGCCTTTCCCCAAAGGCTGCTATTAGCTGGAGTCAAGGGTTGGCCCCTTTGACCTTATATATTTTCCTCGAATGACCTTATTGGTACCTAGGGCCTTAACCATCAATTTCAGATCGATGACTTCCAAATCTATATATCCAGTGTCTTTCTTAGGCTCCAGACCCAAATTTTCAACAATGTCCTAAACTTAGGTGTCTTACCATGTTCAGTGTAGAATACTTTATATTACTACCATCTCCAGCCCAACTCTGCTACTTCTATTTTCTCTGTTTTGCTCAAAGGCTCCTTGATCCCCAGTCACCCAGGCCAGAAGCTTGGGGAGTCATCCCAGTCTCCTTCTGTCTTATTCCCACATCAAAATGGTTGTGAATCCTGGGCTCCTAATTTCATGATAGACATTGTTTATGCTTCTTGGGACAGCATCCCTGTTTCCTAGTACTACAAATGTATATGTGGCAAGACTATATTCCAAGACAATTCAAAAGTCAATAACTTGAACTTCCTTTAAACTGTTTACTAAGCCAGTGTTTCCCAAAATTTCCTGATCCTAAAAACTCCCCAAAACCTTATTAAAAACAGATTTATAGTCTCTACCCCAGACCATCTGGATCCAGGGTAGTAGTTTGGATCAATATTTTATCAAGCCCAGGTTACTCTATGGTGAGGAAAGCGTGGGAGAAACTGCACTACTGAAAAATAACTATTCTTTTTCTTCAATGTCGATGCACCATATGTATAAAATTCCCAATAGAAATTGGGAAGAGGAGAAATTAAAGTTTTATAATTCTGAACCCAGGTATCCAAGAGAAGTAAAGGTGTTTCAGAGATACCAATAAGCAGTTTAAGTTGCCAAACAATTTTTTATTATTTGGTAGCTGGTTTGGTAGCTGGAGGAGCAATGTGATACTTTAAAGCAGTGGTTCCTAACACTGGCGTTGTATTAGAATCATCTATGAAGCAGCTAAAAACATGCACATGCCCAGACATAGAGAACCAGGGTCTAGTGTGGGGTTAGGCATCAGAGCCTACTCAAGGGCAGGTTAAAAATATTTCACAGGTGATTCTGATTCTTAACCAGAGTCAGAAGTGCCGAGATAAAAAAGAACACAAGCATTCCTATCTGAGTGCTAGCACTGGTTGAAATAACAGAGGGAAGTTTTCAGGAAAGCAAATGGGCTCACTGTAGCACTTCTAACAGCTGAAGGATTAATCATGCTCTGCCTCTGGCTCACTGAGAGTGTAGGAAGCTGCACATCCCCCACATTGAGGGCAAAATTTGATTTTCCAGAGCATCTCTTAAGACCGAGGGCATAAATGATTCCTCATCAGCAGCAATCAAAGCTATTGAGAATGGGGAGCCAGTGAAGTGGCCTGACAGCCAATGCTTGGCCCAGCTTGATGAGGTCTGATGGATGATGCTACAAACAAACTGAGAGTTGGATGAGAATGGTCAGCTAACCTGTAATAAGAGCAACCACTGTCATCTGTGGAATGCCCTTACCTTTACAAAGCAGACTTAGTCATTGGCAAACATGGATCTCTGTGATGGTCAGAGCACGAGGTGATACACATCTAAATAGGATGGGATCTAACCCTCGAGGAACCAACAGTCTAGGTGAGAGCATCAGATCTATACAAAATTAACTGCAATAAATCAGGAGCTTGGTGCCAGGTGGGGCAGATGGAAAGGATGGGTACTCAAATCAGAGGATTGTACATTTAAGTACTTTGGAATTGATTGAGTGGGAAGGAGAGCAGGAAGCCATTGAAGACTTTTGAAATGGCACTGCCATGATTAGGGTTCCTGACAGCGGGGATTAAAGAGAGAGAAACTTTTGAAATAAATCCAGTTTGGAGACTACAACAATAGTGTAAAACAGAAGGACTTTCTAATCTACAAAATCATGTAAACTCTCAGCCATCATAGTCATAGGTAAGATAAGTATTAATATTCTCATCTTATTAAAGGGGCAAAAAAATAAGTAAACTGTGGCAAAGTGAGGTCATTTTACATGTTTAGACAAGGTGGCCACTCTGTAAGTAAACGCAGAGGGGAGATCTTTTGCCTAGTGTAGTCGCCTGAAAAATGATCACTGGAGGAACAAGCCCTTTAGCATCCTTACCTCACTCAGATGTGTCTTCAGTTCCTGCACTTTTCTATATTCTGGAGTGTCAAGCACCACTTTGTATTTGTCTCGCATCTTCCGTGCATTATCAGTGTACAGGTAATTAGACTGAAAAAAAAAAACCAAACCAAACACAAGAAGTTGGTTAATCATTTAAGGAACTGCTTGTCATGGTCACACATTGACTTTCAAACGGCTGGCATGTGCAAGTCAAGATGACCTTTCCTTTATCCTGGATGTCTTCCCAGGCAGGAACAAACACCACTGTCATTTACCCAAGCTCATCACCTTTGATAGAAAGCACAGATCATCTTAAGTGGGTTATGACTTGCTTAAGTGGGTTAATGGCAAATTTGCCCTTAAAATTAGCTACAGGCAAAGATTCTTTCTGCCCAGCTCCTTGAAGCTGGTGGGGGAAGCCACAGGTTGTGAAGATGGGCACTCACCCAGAGCTTCCGCAGGTGCCGGGAGCGGACCATGTCGGGTGTGTCATACAGGAAGCAGCCCAGTCCCTTCAGAATCTGCAAGTCTTCTTTGTATTTAATCTGTATGGCAAACATAGAAATAGAGTTGGTCGTGAGCAAATACAAATCAAGAATAAATAAGGCAGGGTAGTGACACATTTTTATTGATGTCACTTTCATTTGGGTTCAATACATTCACCCTGTTCTCTTCGTTTGCTTGTAGTCAAACACATCATAGGTTTTTAATTTTAAATCTTTAACCTTGAGCTGAGGATAGAACCCAGCTACTATTTTATTATGTTGATGGAAGAAAAGCCTAGCTTGAATGGAGTGGTCTTTTAGAAGAAAACATCCAAGGAGAGAAAAAAAATGGCAGCAGGAAGTTGTCTAAGGGAGTGAGAGTAGGGATGTGCTTCCATGCTATTTCACCTCCCAACTTGTACAATCAGTTTAGAAGTACTCAGTGGAAAAGTCTATTAAAAGGCCACTGGTTGGCTTAAATTCTCAATGCAAGTGACCTTTTGGTAAGAGTGCTCCAGAAAGACCTTATGAGATGCTTACATCACTGGTGATGTCTCCCACGTGGCGGCAATGGATCACTTGGGGTGTGTACGGCAGTGAGATCATGTGGCCCTGCATCTTGAAGAAGTCTGATTTGTAGATCAACTAAAGAAAAAAATGCCAAGAAACACACACATTAGAGACTGAATGATTGACCAGGGTTCCACGGCCTGTTCTCTCTTGGAAGAAAATACCCACCTCACTGACAGCCTCTTGTGTCTTCTTGACTTGTCGGATTTCAGGCGTGTCAGGGGTCGTGTGAATCTTGTCTTTCAGTTTGTGGTACAGTTGTCGGTACAGCCTCTACATTGGAGAAAAAGCCATTCCAGGTGTTTAGTACAGGGTGATAAGAGCATCTGTTGACTAATGAACAATCAAATATTTTACATAAAGAGCCATAAGAGGAGAGATTGAGGGTATAGAATATGATGGAGGTTAGGGAAAAAAGAGAAAATCAGATTTATTTTATTTAGGTGTAGAACTTTGAGCAAAGTCTTCCACTATTTATCAGATGGTTGGATAGCAGGATCACATATACAAACCAATAGTTCATGTAGAGAACCAGGGTCATGATTCAGATGAAATGCAACCTTATTAAAGATTTTTTAATATAAATGTCAAGAGAAGGAATTAATTTGCATTATCATCTATGGGTTGGGGTCTCTACCATGGCATTACCAAATATAGAAAAACATGGCCAAGGGATACCAGTATCAAAATGGTGACAAAAAAGGCCCTCTTGCTCCTTGTTGATGTATAAGTTTATAGTTGAAATATAACTAATTCTTAATGCAGTTCAAACAAAGCCGTGGTCTTTGAAACTCAGCATTTTCCCCCACAGAATTAGCATTCACAGTACCTCACTGGTAACGTTGTTGACCCTCCGGACATTAACAAATGGAACATCATTGGGGCCAAGTGTATACCCATTTGCCTTGATGTGTTCATAAACTTCTTTGTACTTGAACTGCAAAGCAAAGTCAGAAGATCACAGATGGGTACACAAAGAGAGGCATTATATTTCTCAAGTAGAAAAGAGCTGTCACTTTCATTCGAAAATTACTCTCTAAGCAATAAGTATAAGGAAAAGTCATTAACAAAATTTCAATACAATTTGAGTCTTTAAAATTATTTTGTTGGCTAATAAAGCCAGGTCCAGAAAGGAATGAAATTCAATGTTGCCAAGATGAAATCTGTTTGTAGGCAGATATGCAAAGTGCAAGAAAAACCTATATTTTTAGCTCCAATACAGCTAGCAAAGTAGGAAATGCAAGAAGAAACAAGAGAATCAAGACTGATGAATGACTTTGTGGACTGATTAACAGATAACACATTAGGTGATTAAATCTGTGACTCTCTGCTTTGGAAGCCATATTATTGAGACACTGGACCTGCTCGGCTAGAAAGGTTGATTCCCAGGACACTGAAGGGTAACATGGAAGGGAGATCTTATTATTCAGCTGATGGTTGGTTTGTGGGTATGGTCTGCAGGCCAGAGTCACTGGGAGAGCCAAAACATCCCTAGGCCTTGCCTTTGGGGTAAATGCTTCAAGTCCCAACCTGACACTTTTAAAAAGTGGGGAAGATTGGTGTCAGAGCTAATGCCTGGGCAAGGTAGTGAGAGCCTATCTCCCCCTTTGAGCTTTCTGTGAAATGGGCACAGAGGGTAAGTAGCGAGCCAGGTATCAGAGTCAGCAGCTAGGCAAGTAGTCCTTTCTTTTCAAAGAAACACACAACGATGTTATATCTTTTGCAATGAAACATTGCAGAAGGAAGACAATATCATTGCCACACATCTGTAGTGGGTGTATAAATTTGCATTTCCAGTATGTGGCTTGGGATCGTTCAGGATGCTTCTGTGCAAAGGCCAGCAGTAGAGGCATCATGGCAGCCATGAAACCTGAGCCAAGGTAACTGAGTCACGCAGTTGCAATTCCATGAAAGTCCTATGCAGACCCACTGGGCTGTCCAGGCACTGCCGAATTAAAGGAGGAAGCCAAGTCCACAGCACCCCAGAAAATGTGTTGTCTCCCCCCCTCAGCTCCCATCATCATATCATGTTGAACCTTTAGGGTGGGTTTGGGGGGATGAGAATAAACTATCAATGAATATTCATGCCCCCCACCCACTTCAGACCCCATCTTAATGAGGACAGCACTCACATAACTGCTCATGTATTGGGCGTTCTTGGAGTGTTTGAAGTTAGGGGTGTCGACTGGAAGCCTATACCCAGTGGGCAGGGAGCGCAGGCCAGGTCCTCGGTACAGATTCTGCCAAAGGAGAAAGAACAGGTTAAATGACATGTGTATCAAATAATTGACCCAAGTTAAACAAGTAATATCCAGCTTACATTAGGTTTTCGATTAGATACTTAATGCCCACTGCATTGATTTCAGAAGAAATTAAATACATTCTAAGAGTCAGGCAAAGAATCCAATTACTGTTCAACAACTGTTTTTGAAAAAGAGGGCAATGAGTGAAGGGGCTTATAGAAAATAATTCTTCTATGTTTCTGAACATATGCCCACTTGACTGTATGCCATCTAGCAAGAATTTGGAAAAAGTAGAGGAAACAGGCAACCAAGGGCCACCTCTGTTGTTCACCCCACCCTTAGGTGACATTCAAGCTATCACCAGTTCTGGAGACAGTCATAATTATAAGGCACATCTTTGGAATTCCATTCCCTCCCTAAACACAGTCTTGCTGTCAGGCTATGAAGTGGACAGGATGTTCATATTCCTGGCAGAAGGTGGAAAGGAGTTTCTGCCTGTGACCTTAAACTGTCTGTCTCTCAGTGAGCTGCAGGAGCAAGAAGAGTATTTAAAATATCAAAAAGCAAAAAGTTCTAAAACTCAATATAGGAGGGGGTAGCGTTAAAGGTTCAGGCCCAAGTAGCGCCATCAGTTATCACAGACTAGAGATACCAAGCATGCAAGTGGAATCCAGCTCCTCTTTTGTCTGAATTCCAACAGCAATTTCTAGCTTTATCTTATTGGTAACAGTCTTTTCCGATTATGTACCCTGTCTTTGTCATCTTGATTTTAAGCATTTTGAGAGCAGCGATAGCAGCTGGCCCTTTTCTTTGTAACTTGTAAACATTGCTTCCAAAATGCCCATTGCTTCCGTGATTGTTTGAGAAGATGATCCTACCAGCCAAGAGGGAAGACAGGCTGTGCACGGGGTTTTCGTTGTTGTTGTTGTTTTTTAAACTCCTGTGAACGGAACAGCATTGCAATATGGGACAGCATTTACAATCTACAAGGTCAGGCTGAGAGGATGCCCAAGCTGAGGTTGCTTCTACAGTGGCCAGTGGCCTAGCCTTGAAAGCTGTGTCCAGGATTTCGGCCAGGTACTTTGTCAAGTTTGCACTGCTCACCTCACTCTGGAGCTTGTACGCATGAAGGGCCCGGTCCAGATCCACGGTTTTTGTCGTTGGAGCCACTTTGCCTCTGATGCTGTGTATATAATCGTGGTGGTACACAACCTGGGTGCCGAGAGGAGCAGAGGGAGGTGAACCAGACAGCATTGTTGGGAAGAAGCAAAGTAAATTGAAACCCATGTCTCTTTTAAAAAATGAGCCTGCTTCGTTTTGCCTGGAGAACTCTATCTGATATACTAGGTGCCTTGTCCCATGGGATCCGAGCCAGGGTGTGGGCTCCACACTGAGAAATAAGTGGGAGAGTCAGCTCAGGCACAAGGAGAGGAGGAGTGGGCATTTTACCACCACAAGTTCCAAAATAACAGGTCTCCGTGTTCTAATTCACTGGTGGGATTATATTTATTTATTAAGCTGTGGGGTTAATTAAAAAAAAAGAGCAGCTCTGTGCCTGTCCTACCTGCTCTATGTCAGGCATTGTAGTGGGTGCTTCCCAGCCATTGTCCCGCTGTACAGATAAGGAGGCTGATGCTCGAGGGATTACATGCCTTTCCCAAGCTTCAGAGATGACGAGGAGTAGAGGCTGGACCTCGTCTCTGTCTCTAACTTCAGAGTGGGCTTCCTTCTCATGCTACTTTAGTTAGCTCTGTTGACTCTAATTTATTAGAAGGTCTAGACAGGGACACATCAACTGTTGCTCTTGAGACAATGATACAAAAAGCAACTTTGGAAACTCTAAAGCACCAAGTATTTTATAGACTTGGTCACTTACAACTCTACCCTCGGGAGCAACTTGAACACATCGGGTTTAAGGAAACAAGAGCAGAATCGTAAGTACTTTCTAAGGCCCCAAGTCTGGTTTCCCACTTAGAACCCTGGCTTCCCAATAAAAAAAAGCCAGACACTGCCCAGCCTTTTTTGGGTTTTGTCACTTCTGCCTGAATGGTGGCCCCTGTCTTTATCACTGTCCACAGTAACTTCCCTAATGGGTACTTACATCACTTAGCTGTTTCCCACTTTGGACAGCCTGAACATAGACTGGAGTATCAGTGACCAACTTGTAGTTATTCCTTGTTTTCTGCACATGAGCTTTATACTTGATCTGCCGAGAGGAAGAACATAAGCTTGAGTTAGGCCGTTCATTATCTTAGAGACTGCTGGTGTTCACAGAGGGTTTGGTTGTTTTTAACGCATTCATTAGCACTTGTTCAACAGACCAGGACGCATTTGAATTTTATGACCATCAGCGAAATCAATGCTTACAGTCCTATGGAGCTTCTAGAGTCTTCCAGGGGGGTTGACAATTGCTCTTCTAGGAACATTTAAGGTTTCTTACTGAAATCTTCATTACAGTATTAATTTGCCTAGCAAATCCCCTCTTTACAAATAGATCCTATCTGTAGCATCACACACTCCTAACAAATGAGATTTTCCTACCGTGAGAATTATGTGCTCATTAATATATCTAAACTAGTCCAAAAGGTGGGGAGAAGAGCCATGAGTCCCTTCTCCCCCAGAGAACAATGGGACAGCTCAACTGCATTGCTGAGCAGGAACGCCTGTGTATCCCTGAGAAATGGCAGCTCTCTATTCCTTAGCATCTTTCTCCAGCTCAGCCATCCTAATGCCACTTAAGACACAGCTGGTCTGTGGCAATGTCCATACTTGACATCCTTTCTCTTTGACTCCAGACTCCGTAGAGAAGGAAACATACTTTAAATAGCCAAAACCAAAAAACAAGGCACACTCACATCATTGCGTAGATCATAAGCGTGTTTGGCATGGAGAATTTCAGGAGTGTCCCAGACATAGCAACCAATGCCTTTCAACCAGGTGAGGTCATCCTTGTACACAATCTAGAGAATTGAAACAGATGAAGGGGATCAGCAAGATAAAACTTGACTGTAACTTTAACACCAAGGACACAGGCACCCTCTGGACCAAGGGTGACTTTGTGGAGTGAGAAGTAAAAAGCATGATGCAATGAGGCCCTGGGTGCCACACAGGCCCCTGCTCCCAGGGACAGTTCTGAATTCCTGTCAGACCCATGGGGATATGGGAAAGCGATACTGGAAGAAGGCTGAGGTGAAGAAGAGATAGGTAAGCCTGTTTTTCTTTAGGGCGGGCATGTGGGGCCAGGAAGGACCATCATAAGCAAATGGGCTTACGTCGCTGATCTGATCTGTGACTTTCCTGACGTGACTGTTGACTTGCAAGTCGGGATGGCAAATCCACTCATGGAGGTGAACGCGGTAATCAACCTCACTGACTTTCTTCTGCGAATCCTTAGCAGTCACCATTTCTACCATGTCGGGCACCATGTGGATTTTCATCTTGTTCTTCTCATAAACTGACTTGTACAGGCGCTGTGACATTAAAATAACATGCCAGTTACACAGGAAATTGTGCATGGCATCATGGCAACACATGACTTTCTCGTGCACCAGAGAAGGCAGCATAACCACCTTACAGCAATTGGTCTAGGGCAGAGTGGGGGCTGAAATTTTCTGACATTTTCTATAGGTTCATGGGGGCGGGAGAAGCAGCATAGGCTGAAATAATGCTTAGCTTCTGCACGTCTGCACCATCAGTGCCATATGTGTTATTTAATAACAAACGTCCTGGTTTATAATAGATGGCTATGTTGCTTGGCTTCACTCTGAAGTACGCCCTTTGAAATTACTTACATCGATGTTAAACTTGCCAACTCGGAGACATCGTGCTGTATTTGGATCATCCTCAACACTTCTTGGTAAAGTATAAAGAGCTTTGAACTTTTCATATTCTTCCCGATATTTGATCTATAGAGAGAAAGCACAGAGGAAGAAACATAGTTTTGGAGAGTAACGGATCTATGTTGTTACAAGAGCATGAGACGCTGAGATGCAGCCAACTTGGGGTCACCACTTCTCTGAGCTGCTTTCCTCATCTGTGCAGACGTAGGGGGTACAGCAGTTGTCCCTGCCACAGGTTATCCTGAAGCTTAAATCAGACTATTTCAGAAAGTACTTTTTTTAAACTGAGAGAGCTATATATAACATTTTCGTTACTGTTTTTAATACCCCTATACCAATACGAGTACTTGTACTGCCACTACAACTCATTTCAAAGATTATGTAATTTTTTAATAATCTATTTTGTGATAATGGCTTTGCTTTTTTAAATTACTAGTGAAAGATGAAAAATATGCTCAGGAACTTCTTTGTTTTTAATAACTGATGAGCCTGATACTTAAGAGACATTTGAGTTTCAGATTCTATAAGGTTTTCCAAAAATACAGGGCAACCAACTTCTTTGGGACAACCAACTTTAGTTTGTAGGCCATATTGCCTTTTAATTAATGCTGCATGATTTCATGAACTACGAGGGAAGGCCCTTACAGAGATTAACATATAATCTCCTAGCATGTGGTAAAATAAAAATTCTCTCACAACTCAGAGGCCCACATCTCAGTGAAAAAAAGAATAAGGGAGGAGATGAGAGTATTTGTGATAGAATTCTTGCAAAGCTCTTCAGTGACTACAGACAAACCAAAATTCCCATCAGGATTTTCTAGAACATTAGTTTCCACGCTCCTTACATTCCTCATTTACAAAGAAGATAATATTCAAAGGCACTGTTTTAAAGAACCTACTACTAGAATGCTTGTTTTAAAAGATTAATTTCTTTGTGTCCCACCTTGTTCCAAAAACAAGTTGCCGAGAATCTTGCCTTTGTAACTTTTTTTATAACTAAAGGAAAAAGCCTCTGCAGAGCTTTCTATAATCTTATCTACAAAACTGCTCTTCCCAAATGAAAAGTTGACTCTTTTGGACTAGTCTGTTTGTAGTTTTCCAGAGTTGGGGCTGGGCAAAATCATACGTATTAATTTTTCTCCAGGTAAGAATCAAATTAATTTCATATATTATCTAAAAAAGGCTTTTTTTAAACTCTGCATCTCTAGGTCCATTAGAGGGTAGTGAAATGAATTTACTGGGTCATTATCTTTTTAAATGAATAGAAGGGAACTGAAATGATTAGAGCACATTGTCTTTAATGTAGCAGTTAGTACTCTTCTGTAAAACATGTCAGAAAGAACTTACATAAACTTCAGGTGTGTGTGTGTGTGTGTGTGTGTGTGTGTGTGTGTGTGTGTGTGTGTGTTGACTTGCAATATAAAATACACTTCTCACTGTGGGTTTTGGTAAAAACAAAAAAGGTTTGAGAAATACTGGTCTAAAATGCTATATAAATTGTTCATCATTAAGAGGTAAAAGTCTCTAAAAGAGGTAATGTTTCTAAAAGAGAACTGGGTTTATTAGAACTTCACTGAAGGTTACAGGGAATTTTGCAATAAAAGGTTTTACTTAAGAACATTTTTGGCATAAAGGGATAAAGATCAAAACCCTTTTTGCTATATTTAAACAGCTCATGTGATTTAGGGTTTTTGCAATCAAGTCTATCCTAAGAAAAGTTCTGCTTTTAAAAAGAGGCGTTTTGAAAGATTTAATTATTTTTACATTTCATAGTTATAAAGATAATTATTTGCTTTTTAATCATTTATTCAGGGGTGGTGTAATAACCAGTTATCACATTCACTGGTTTGTTTTTATACTACAACCCACATAATTCTATTTTCAAAAAGTCTATTTCATATGGTATATTACGTCTTCTGCCTGTCTCCACTCCTGGCCAGAATAGTATATCCATCTATGCCATTTGTAGGCAAGCAGCCTAAAAAAGGCCACATCTGTGTGCTTCATGCAAGGGTTTGTGATCCCCTCTGGATTTCAGGGCCCTTGAGAGGAAAAAATAAGTGTACAGAGTTTGTGATGACTCAGCATCTGGAATTATTTGCTGGTATACCTATAGGAGTGCTGGGGGTACTCCTGGACAACACACGTATCATTCGGAAAAATCCTGGGAGTGGAGACCAGGAGACGGCATAGGGTAGGTGGGAAGGCTATCTATCACATTTGCAGTTGACTTACATTGCTCGCCAGATGCTTCTGGTTCTGGGCGTGTTTCAGGGACATGGTGCTGGAAGGCAGGATGTAGCTGGTGGCTTTCACTTTATCCCAGGCCTCCTTGTACACATTCTGTAGGGGTTAAAAATCTTCTTGTGAATACAGACAAATGCATTCTAGTTAGCTTCCGAGTAGCAGACGTTTCTCTCTGTTTCTGTCCTCAGACATGCCCTAATAACCCCCAGATCATCTCGCTCTACAGGATCCTAGTACCCTTAAGTGAATAACTGCTTTAATACCATGGCCCTAATTTCACAGTCCATTATTTTGTTCTCTACCATAGTACTTATCACAGTTTGACAGTTATCAGAATTTTTAGTATATGTGCTGTCGAAGCGAGCAGTGTTATCAGAATTTTTGATGCTATATTTATTCTACATAGGTCTAAGAATTCCTGGAGGATGAAACATTAAAAAAAAAACCCTGTTTACTCTTCCCTCCTTTTATGTCGCTAGTGGGAGCTCAAAATATGTTTGTTTCCACTCCTAGGTATTTATTTACCCAGGAGAAATAAAAACTTATGTACACACAAAAATATCTATGCAAACATATATAGCAACTTTATTCGTAGCTGGCAAAAACTGAAAACAACTCCAATGTCCTTCAACTGTGGATGGATAAACAAACTGTGGTGCATCCATGTAATAGAATACCATTCTGCAATGAGAAGACTAAACTACTGACTTATGCAGCAATGTGAATAATACATAAATGCATTTTGCCAAGAGAAAGAAGCCAGAACTAATGGCTATATGCTATATGATTTCATTTATGTGACATTCTGGTAAAGATAAAAATCTAAGGATAGGAAACATCTCTGTGGGTGCCAGGCGAGAGGGGAGGGCAGCCACGTGAAGCAGTGCAATATTCAAATTGGGTCTTATTTAATTGTGACTAGGAGGATTTATGAGATAAAGTAGGAACTGGAAGTTCTGGGGAAAAAAACTAGACAAACCTTTGGGAGTACAGTGCCTATCCCTTTTATTTTCTTATTGAAAATAGGTCATTCAAATGCAAGAGGAAAAAAACCCCAAAATCTCAACTCACACTGCTGTAAAGATCCTTGAGGTTCTTGGTCCTGTCATAATCCACTGTTTCTAGAACTGTCGTATATTTGTCCTTCATCTGGTGATAATTTTCTTTATATTTCACCTACAGACAAAGAAAAGATGGGTTATTCTTTTCTGTTGTTTGAAAATATGTAAAGACAATACATGGCTTGTTCTGGAAGAGAAGACAAAAAAGACGCACCTCACTGGCATTAATGTAACTTTGAAGAGCAGTCACGTGAATTGGTGTATCTGTGATCAAATTATAATTTGGTAGATTTTCTTTAGCTGCTGCAGTGTATTGTAGCTGTGGAGAAAAACAAGTCATTGCAAATAGTGAAATCCAGGTCTGCCATCAGCTTTAGCAGTTTGTGCCAACTTAGATGTGCCCTTATTTATTCCCCGGTTCCTGCTTTAAGTCTAACAAAGAGGCTACTATTGTATAGTCCTGCAGGCTTTGTATGGTGGCCAAAATTAATCATTTCTCTTGACCAAGGGTGGGTCAGATCTTTGCTAGGTCCCCTTTCTAATTTTGTTGTCTTTTCCATGTCTATACTTCACCCCTCATGGCAGCCGTTCAGTTTCAATATTTCGTTAGTCTGCCCTATGAGAGCTGAACCATGTGCTGGGAGATTTTCCAATTTTTTTTTTCGCTTCAAAACTCATCTTTTTATGGTCAAAGTATGCATTTGCATTCTCCTCTCTACAAATTAGCCTGATCAACTCAGATATTGATGCTTCAGAGTAGTTCACTGGGAAACACCTCCCAGGCAACTTTCCTTTAGAAATGTTGAATGTCTTAAACTATGGAGAGACTCAAACTGAGAATCCAGCACTAGAGCAGGCCCCAGGGGTGGTCTGACTGGGCAGCGGGCCTGTGGTTCCCCTTGGTCATGCACTGTTAGAGGAGCTTCCTCTGCCTGGGCTTTGGGCCAGTTGTGCCAATACCCCACCAAGAGTACCATGGATTCCACTGACCCACGGCAAGCTGGTCCTTCTAGAAGACTGGACTGGCTCACCTGACTCTGCAGTTCATATGATTTCTTGGCCTGGAGGATCTGGGGTGTATCCCAAACGTAGCATCCAATGCCTTTCAGCCAATTTAAGTCATCTTTATACACATTCTGCAAGAAAGAAGGGGCAGTGAAAGAGGATAGGTACTCATTGAACTTACAGCTGACATTTCGATGATTTCCTGTTTGCTCATGGCTGTGCTTGGTGCTTAGTGGTCAGAGGGCAGGGCCTCTCGACACCCGGAAGGCCCTTAATGCTCTGGCCTAAAGAAGCATAGGACGAGAGCAACAGGTAAGTTTTAGTCTAGTGTTAAACAGACTAAATATGTAACATAGGTGTCCAATGGCTCAGAGAGGATTCTTATCCAAAAAGGGGTTGGTTACTCGTGCCACTTTGTGTTGCAAAGCAGCAGGGTTTATAACTACAGGGATACGCAGAGCAGGAGGGGTCAAAGCAGGGTTGGGCAAAGCCTATCATTAAGTCAAGCTGCAGAAAAGAAATCGTACATCACTCAAGATCTCCTGTGCGTTCCGGGCCCGTATAACATTGGGTTCTTCTAGAAGAGGTGTCCACTGGTGGAAGTAGTGTCGGTACTCTAGGTCACTGAGGATGTACTGGCATTTTTTAGCCAGCACGTGATTCATCATATCATTGGGGATATGAATATTTGCTTTGGTGTCTTCATAATTTTTTCTGTAGTTCAGCTAAAGAATAACATATTTTTTAAAAGACAAAAATAAGAAAGGAAAAGGTAAATTATTCAGAGCAACCTCTTTTAGAGTCTTATTTCTAATATAGATCTGTACCTTTAGAAAGGTTAAAAAAAATGAGACTAGGGTGGTCGGATGGCTCAGTGGGTTAGAGCATGTGCTCTTAACAACAAGGTTGCCGGTTCAATTCCCCCATGGGATGGTGGGCTGCGTCCGCTCCCCCCACAACTAGATTGAAAACATCGACCGGACTTGGAGCTGAACTGCACCCTCCACAACTGAAATGAAAACAACTACTTGACTTAACTGAGATAAGCCCTCCACAACTAGATTGGAACAACTATTGGGTTGTCGGAAAAGCCATGACCTATTTTGCTATGTTTTTCTTTTTTTTTTTCCTATGTTTTTCATTGTAAAAATGCGTCATGACTTTTCCAACAACCCAATACTTGACTTGGAGCTGATGGGTCCTGGAAAAACACACTGTTTTCCTTCCCAAATAAAATCTTTAAAAAAAAATGAGACTTTAATATATTCTTCTTCTTTATAAAGTCCCATCCTTTTAGTGACCTTGCTGTCCAATTAGACATTACAGATTTCTAACTAGACAGAAACCTCACTGAGTGTTTGGTAGTGGAGGTGGGTGGGAAATGGCAGAAACTCAAAGCCATCAAACATACACAAGACTAATGGCAGGGGTGGGGGAAAGTCTCAAGATTGACTCGTTCCTCATGGTCCCACCCCAACTCATCTCAAACCAAAAGGCAGGTCAGAAATTAAGTTCCAGTGAACTGTGCTTACCGCGCTACTCATCTTCTGGAAATCCAGACAGTGAACCACACCAGGGAACTCACTGATTTCTTTCCCAGCCAGGTAGTGGCCCTTCTGCTTCTCAAATGTCTCTTTGTATTTAAGCTGTGAAGTAGGCACAACACTGAGAATCACTGGGATTTTTCTAACCAGCCCCTCGCTCCCCAACAAAGACTCTCAAACCTATGAGAGGTAAAAGTCCTACTGACCTCGCTGTTCACATAGTCGGCGTGCTTGGCTCCCACGATGGGAATGTAGCGTTCATCCAAGGTGTAGCCATAGGCCTTGGTTCCCTCCCACGCCCCTTTATACAGTATCTAGAACAAATGAATATGTGTCAACAGAGATCTGCCTTCAATTTCTTTCAGGTACCACTAAAAAGACAATGGTAAAATCAAGGTAAACTATTTATGCTGAAAGGCAAGGCTTAAATCTGTATTTACAGCCATCAGGGTACCTATCTAAGAACAAGCTAGAGTTTTTGGGTTGTTGCAAATGAAATCTACAGACTCTGAGGCATTTTATAACTGAGTTTCACTAGATTTACAATGCAAATAAAAGTGAAAAGAAATTTGTGCATAGGGCAAGAATCGCCAAAGATTGCTTCTCATTGAGCGCACACACACATGCACACATACACCATCCTTTAAATGAGCTGAATGAAAATTTGGAAGGCAAGTCCTCCATCTGTGGGCTGGAGATGTTTGTACATGATTGCTGAAGAGGGAACTGGCCTGTCCTCTCTTTTCTCTGATAGGAGTTGCTCAGGCCTGTGGGCGCCCAGAGTCGTTACAGCACTCATTACACTATGATCTGTTTATTTGTATGTCTGTCTCTCTCACTTGCATGAGCTCTTGAGGGGCTTCTCTCATTGAGCTTTAACTCCTCAGTGCCTAGATCACACCCGCTCCAAAAACACAAGCTGAATAAATGCTACTCACTCTCAATAGTATGCTACTTTTAATAAACAAGACTAAATATAACAAAAGTAATCGATCCCCTTATAAGTTCAGTTGCTCACAAAATCATCCAAGACTATGAATACTGATGAGAATTTAAAGTTAGGAACTGAGTTGTATATCACAAAATAGAGAACTTACGGTACTGTAGAGTTTTTCCATTTCTTTGGAGTGGGTGATGTATGGTGTATCTGGAGAAAATGTGTATTTGCCCTTCAATAATTTATTAAACGTTTCTTTATATTTTATCTAAGGAGAGAAAACAAAGTAAAACAAAACCTTACTATAAATGTATATTTAAGGTTTCATAAGATCTACCTAGCAAGGTAATAATCAGTCTACATTTAGAGATTAAGAGTAATTGACTGCTTGAATTTCAGTCCTTCAGTTAATAGAATAATTTGGAGAAGAGTATGAATATTCTCTAAAAGTGGGCACAATTGTACCACCTACTAGTAGCTTTTAAGACATTTTCTCCCAAGGATTAGTTTATAATCTCCCCCACCCCATTTTCTTATAAGCAATTATCTGGAGTTAAGCCAATCTGTTCCATGATAGACAATTAGCTCCCCCATCTATTTACCTCATTACACACAAAGCAAACTTACATCACTTTGATTGACTGAGTTAAACTTGGCCAACACAATCTCCGGAGTGTCTTCCACACATGTAAAGTTAGAATAGTTGTCAAGAGCAGCTTTCTTATATTTTACCTGCAAAGAAATAGAGATGCTTGAGGTCTCCCTACACAAGGTACCTATCCAAACATGGCAGGTAAGGAGACAAGCATTAGGTAAGAAGAACAGACTTTGTGTACCTGATTCACCAGTTCTTGGTTTTGTGTAACCCTCACATGCTCCACAGAATCCAGGGGGATCCAGCCAATGCCTTTGAGCCACTCCAGGTCAGCTTTGTAGACATTCTGAGAACAGGAAGAGAGATGTGATGCAAGGATAGGTGGCTCAGACACAGGGTTATGGACAGCAGATTAGAAATAATTTTTTCAGAAGCTTTCAAAGGATTTCCTCTTGTAGCTGTTGTCTCATTGACTCAATCGTGACTTCATCTGTTCACCTGGGCAAAATTTCTTGAACCTCTTACTGTGAATGAAGCACTGTGCTAGGTGCTTTGAGGGATTAGTACAAAGAAGGAGTCTAGGCACAGAGAGAAGTCCTTTACAAAGGTGGTAAGTGCTGAGAACAAGACTACTCAAGTTGTATGGGAGTTGAGGGCAGGGAGCCATTGTTTTTAGCTGTGAGCATCAACAAAGGTTTTATCAGGGATGTTGTAATTTCAGACGGTCTTAGTATATTTAGTTATATAGAAATATGCGGGACATTTAGAATAAAGGAAATTACGTAAGTAAATGCTTATGTATTATAGGTAGGAGCAGGCAACCCTTGGGGCAAGCCTGTCTCTACCCTTCCCCACCTAACTCCTGGATTCTCCAAGCCCACCCACACCAAATGAACAGGAGCTAGTAATCTGATTAAAGTTCCACAATGGTCTTTCTGCAGCAGCAACCAGTGAGGTGGGAGGTTCAAGTTCAGCCCCTTCACCACCCGCAGTCTTTGACTTCCTGTTTCTGTTTTGGTAAAGATGAGAAGACCCAGGTAGGGTCAGCTCCTCAGTGCACCTGAGCATCACATCAGTACATTGCGTTTCTGTCCCCTACAGACCGCTGGTGTCAGGGAGAGATCTTAATTCAGCCTTCAGTGCAAGGCGGCCTACGTCATATTCTCCATCTAGCTTTATCAGAGCGCTGCGTGAAGAATTCTGGGCCCCCATGCAGCTCATCAGTACTTTGTGTCCCTTTTGCTTGGATCCCTTGCAAGCAACTCCTTCATAAATGCCTTGCAGAATGAGATGTTTGGCAAAGCAAAAATGGGCCAGTCCCAGGTCCCTGACTATACACCATCATGCAATGCTGTCAAAATCCCAACTCAATCTTAATCCCCATCCACCCCCATTATTATTTTAAATCAGTTGATAATTTTTCATGCAAATGTAAGGAGTTGCTGGTGCTGATGGTACAGAAGCAGCAGAGTTTTAAAAAATTGACTTTGGAACTTATTCAGAAACACAGTCAGAAGGCAAAGCTGTCAATCTTTCTCTACTTTGTATCCAGCTTCAACTCCCTTCTCAGAACAAACTAAACGTTTATGGTTCCAAGCTTCAAAGACGGGTGGTTCTGGGATGCTGCTTGTAACTCAGTATGCCATATGTTTCTAGATAATTAGGGGGGAAAAAATCACTTACATCGCTCTGCAGGTCATAGGCCTTTCTTGCCTGAATAACATCATTTTGGTCAGGATGACAGGTCCACTGGTGCAGGATATTGCGATAATCAATATCACTGACAAGGTCCTGCCCCTGCTTGGCGGCCACCACTGACACCATGTCCCCAGGTATATTGATTTTGGCTTTTGTTTTATGATAGTCCTCTTTGTATAGTCTGTCGTTCTGGATCTGGCCCGCGTGCTCAAACCAAACCAGTTTAGGATCATCTCTCATCGTCGGAACACCAACATAATGACCTTTTTGTTTTACGTGTTCGGCTTTGTATTTTAGCTGGTGGGAAGAAGCACAGAGATTCCATTGGCTTTGGTAAGAACACAGGGAAAAAGGACTTTGAACATCAGCAAATTCAACTCCCCAGCTTTTCATGTCACACCCCTTCACCCCTAGAATAACTAACAAAAAGTACTGAAATAACATTTTTTAAGTGAAGAAATATCAATTTAAAAATAAAATATATATGTATGTGTTTTCAAATTCTGGTAATATTTTATTTGATGTTCTAGCCAAGGGCTAGAAAAAAGTGAATATATAATGATGGATGTTAACTAGATTTATTATGGTGATCGTTTAGCAATATATACAAATCTTGAATTATTATGTTGTACACCTGAAACTAATAAAATGTTATATGTCAATTATATCTCAATTTAAAAAAAAAAACAAGAAAAAAGTAAAGAACTCAAATAATAGCTTTGAAAGAAGCCAAGGCAGGAAAAAAAAAAAAGAAAAAGAAAAAGAATACCCAAAGCCCACAGAGAAAGGACCAGAAACGAGAAGGTACTCCACCCATCCCCAAGCCCAGCTGGGCTGCCGAGCCGACAAGGAACACTCCACCATGTTAGGCTTTAGCATAACTGAGTTCCCCCATGGGCAAGATCCAGCTTTTGCAAAGTGCATTCATATGGGGATGAATTACCTCGCTCTGAACATCACTAGAGTGATGGGCATGAACAAACGGCACAGCATCCGGAGGCAAAATGTAACCTGTGGCTTTTTGTTTCTCCCAGCCTTCCTTGTAGAGGTACTAGAAGACACAGGGCCACAACAAACAGTTACACTCTGGAGTCAGAATGAAGGGATAAGTTGTGTGCAGACATGTCCGATAAGTATATTTTGGGCCTCAAACCCACACCAAGTCCCAGGCATCCTGGTAAAATCCATACCTGGTCCAGTATCCGGGCTGCCTCCTGAGCAGTGTGCAGCAGGGGTGTTTCTGTGAGGGTGTACTTTGATTTGGTGTCATTCCAATCTTTCCGGTATTTAATCTAGATGAGAGGCAAGGTGGTAAGTTACTTGATGTTAGCATCAATCATCTCAATGATTACAATCTGCATCTTGGGCAATGATTGCATTGCCAAGTGTAAATAGGTGGGAAAGCTTTGGAAATGACATGTTCTCGATTGGGCAATTTTATAATGACAGCCATGTACTTACATCATTCAGGATCTCACCACTTTGTTTCGCTGTCACATAATCAACTCTGTCATCCACAGGAGTAAAGTTCAGGGTTTCTATTTTTGTGCGATATTTACTCTATGGGAAAGAAAATATCTTTTAGACAGTCGTAGTCCCTGGTCCTGTGTGAACTGAGAAAAATGCGCTAAATTTAAGGGTCCTTCTCTATCAGCAGTGTAGAGCACCATATTTGAATGGTGTCTTCTTGGCTATTTGGCTTTCTTCTTAGCATTTAATTTTTTAACAAATGGGTTGGCTTCTTATCCCGCCCACAGATTTTAAAGTAGCAAGTTTGTTTAGCTCCCAAAGTCATGTAATGTATCGTGTGTGTGTGTATATATATATATATATATATATATATATATATATATATATATTCAGCACATTTTTTTCAACTGGACAAATTTCTCTCAAGTGCATTGCTATTGTTGCCAAAAATAAAATTTCCAATTATACAATTCCAAGCATTAACTAATGTGCTGGATATTATATTATGAATGTGGTCCCATAATGTCATAATGACAGTACAGGATTATTTTGGAAAAATGTATGCCTGGATTAAACGACAATTGAAACACTTAAAATCGCTGATAGGGAATGATTGCACTTTGGTTCATGTATTTTTGTTCAGTCCCTTAGGAAATGTACCGGATGGCAGGATAAAATCTTGGAATACCTCACTGAAGATATCCGAAGCATATTTGGCATGGTTGACGGAAACGGAATCATTTGGCATCCAGCCAATCCCACGTAACCATTCCAAGTCGGACTTGTAAATAGCCTGTGAAAGCAGGTCAAGATGAAGTCAGCAACCCTAGCCACATGGTCCTGTTTATTCTACCCATTGGAGAAATACAGCCTAAGGATGATATATTCAAGCAGCCAGGCAGGTAACATAAGCAAATGAATTAGGAGGTCAAGTGGTATGTCAAGCTGGGGGGCATATTTTCTATTGGAAAGGGGTTAGCTTTGATTCAGCTCCAGATCATTGTTGCCAGGGTGCATGCACACCCTGAGCTTCATCCTCTGATTTTTCAAGAGAAACAGGAAATCCTAGATTTAGAAAATTTCCTGTTCTAAAAACCTTGGCAACTTAATTTTAGAATTTGTAAACACTGCACCAACTTAAAAAAGCATATCCATGCCTACATCCTGTGCATGGACTGCCGATATTTTACTTAGGATGTAAACATGTGGCTACTTAAATTCTATAGAAATAATATTTTCATGGTAGTTGTCTTTACCCTGCAACAATGGAGAACTAGATTCACACTACCATTTGTTCCTTAACACAAAGTCTAGATTCTTCATGGTGGTTTGGACACCATACGATAAGGTGTAACTAAAGCCAAGTTCTTGGCTGTGTAAAGATATGAAGGGATGAGGATTTCATGACATACATTTTCTGGGAGTCATGGCAAAAAGAAAGAACTCATCCTACAACGCAGCCCACTCACATCACTTTGCAGCTCATAGGCTCTCTTGGCCTGAATGACATCATTCTGGTCAGGTAGGCATGTCCACTGGTGTAAGTAATTGTGATAATCGATATTGCTGACCAGATTCTGGCTATTTTTGGAATGCAAGACGGAAAGCATATCCACTGGGCTTTGGAACTTAGTCTTCCATTTGGCCCACTGCAGCCGGTACTCTCTTTCATTCTGAATCTTGCCAGCGACGAGGGCCCACCGGATCCTGTTGTCATCCCTGGCCGTGAGGGTGCCCACGTAGTGGCCCTTCTGCTTCTCGTGGTCAAGCTTGTATTTATACTGGAGACAGGAAAACAAAGCAGATGGATCACAGGATGGACTCTTGATGTACCTAGGGCGCTTGCTTAGAAAACTGAGAAGTCACACAAGGCCATGCTTACATCACTGGCAATCTCCCTGGAGGCCTTGGCAGCCTGGATGGGGATGGCATCCAGCCGCACGTCACAGCTCGTCTTCATTTCATCCCAGTCTTCACGGTAAATTTTCTGAGGGAGGCAAAAAATAAGGTATCATTCTAGATTCAAATGTTACCAATAACTCCCAGGGCTCACGTGGAATTAATATCAGTGGGGTGCAATTTTGGAGTCCCAGAATTCAGTTAAAGAAAGGGGAGTAAGGTGAAAGGGTCATTCTGCAACACTGTAATGAAATATGAAATCCTGTCTGGAGTCCAAAGACCCAGGCTTGACAAGAGTCCTTTCTTTTTTATTTGAATCATAGCCTTGATGTAGCTGTTCATGGTTTATGTTTAAAAAAAAAAAAAAGCTGCTTCTTGTGCTTCTTGTATTGGTAGCTTTGGAATAAGTTTATGTTCAGACATTAATGGGTTATTACTGAATTCCTTTAATTCAATAATTCAATTTCTCTAATTTTTAAATTCAAGTTCAGTTTTGTGATCTTTAAAATTATAAACCTTTATATTTGTAGGTTCCCCCCCTCAATATAGTTTCTTGGATCTTCTTATGTAATTGATGGTGCATATTATTTGGGAATGTCAAATATTCCTGCTGAAGTACAATTGGATATTAGTAGCCATTCTTTAAAATGCAGCATCATTTTGTTTGTAAAAAGAAGTTAGTTAAGGGAGTAATGGATTTACAGATAACATTTTAAATATATGTTCATATTTAAACAGACACATTTTGTATTGGCAACGTCAAAAAGACTCAGAAATGACAGTAGTTTAAATGTGTAATTTAGAAATCAGACCAATCAGTGTGGGACCTTGAATAGTGCAGAAATGAGGGGCAAATTTCAATTACTGATAGTTTCATGGCCTTTGCATATCTGAAATATGAGTGCTCAGATAAATTTTGTCTTTGTAAGTGTGGATAAGTTTTGTATAAATTTTCAGTCAAGTTTTTCTTTGAATTTTGGGTGTTCCTATTTTAACAACTTACTTGTTTTCTGAACGAAAGAAGAAGTATTTTCCACATTTAAATGTTTATGCTAGAGAATATTTAATGCAAGCTTGTTATTATGTTATTGTAATTTTTGTTTCATTTTATTACATATATTGTTACACTATTTTTTCTTATGTATTAATTTTTGTTTGCTTATGTGTTCAAATATATTTTTTATTTGAACTACAAAAAGTCTGACTTGAGATGAAACTTCTTCATGTACTAATTTGAGAACATGGGCAAATTAATCTTTTTAAGTCTGGACGTTCTCATCTGATAAAAACAAAATAACAATATTTTACTCATATGGTTAGGCTGAAGATTAAATGAGTCAATTTAACATAAATTTGCTTGGTTACCTATAAAGCTGTATACAACTATTCTAAAAATGTTATGCTTTTTAAATGATGGAAAGAGTTTTAAATAGATTATGTAAAGATTACAGTAATGGTGATAGCATGTGTAAAGAAAGAGTACATTTTGGTTAACATTCAAATGGGATGTTTGATTTATTCCAGAACACAAGCCATACTCACTATATCTAAATATCTAATATATCTAAATATCTAGATAGCTAAATATATCAAGTTAAAAGCTTTACTTAAAGCATAGCTTCAAATATTAGTCTTGCTTACATCATCCTATCAGTGGTAGGTCTCTGGTATTTCCAGCTGAGAAATACATCATGCAAAAGAAAGCACATGAGACTTTGCCAAGATGCCTCTGGATCAAGTGGAAGAGGCAGAGAAGGCTATGCCGAAGTAAAGAACTGACTACCTCTCAATCCAGTCACTTGATTCTGGTTCAGAAAAAAATGTATCAGTGCCCTAAAATTTTGTTGTTTTTCTCAACCCCTGTACAAAACTAGCTCCTAAGTGGCTCATTATAATAGAGTTGATAGTGCAGTTTGGCACATGGTGAGGAAATCTTTGCTTGGCAGGCTCTTTCTCTCCCAAGAGTTATTGTTTTTTGAAAGATGTAAAGTTTCAAACTATAGTGACTTGCACTAAGGTAGTATTCTTCTTCTAAGGTCATACTTATTCTACATACAAGAAACTTCTGTGATTCACGAAGGCGGTCCCTTCTTGAACTTTGTGGAGTTCACATAACTGAATTCTCTCATTTTAGCTAATAGTTTTTTAAGTCGATGCTCCTGTTTCTCCCAGGCATATAATGATTTATTCTGTCAATAATGATAATTTTGCCTTTTTATTTCCAATATTTATCTCTTATTCTGACTCTTATGTAATTATTTGGCTGTAATGAGAAGCTTACTTAGCTAGAACTTCCAGCAAATGTTAGATAATGGTGACGTTAGTGGGCATCTTTGTTGTATTCCTGACTTGAATGACAAGCTTAGTTACTGAGGATAAGCCTGGCCTTTGATTTGAAATTGATTATTTTAGTCATGCCAAGAAAATATCCATTTATTCTTATTTTGCTAAGATTTGATTTTAAAAATTAAGAATAAATATTGGATTTTGTCACACGCCTTTTGAAATCTAATGAAACGAGCATACAATTTTTCTCTTTTGTCCAGTTACATTATTAGGATTCTAAATATGGAACCCTCTTGGCATTCCTGGATGACCCCTAGTTGTTTGTGTCATATCATATCCATGTAGTACTGAATTTGATTTGTTAATATTTTATTTAAGATTTTTCCTATTATTATTGGTTTAGTTTTCATTTATGGAGCTATTTTGACAAGTTTTGGTAATTGTGATGGCTTTTTTTCTTTCATTAGGCTCTATGGTAGATTGTTTATTTCTTGAAGTCCTGAGAGAATTCTCCTGTGAAATCATCTGGGTGACCCTGGCGTTTGATAGGAGGAATGAAAGTCTTTAATAACCCTCTTAATGTCTTGCTTTATGTTTTTATTCTTTTTCTGGAGTCCATTTTGATAATGGGTAGTTTCTGAAAAAAACACTCTGAAATCCAGGTTTTAAAATTAATTTGTAGTTTTGCAAAGAATTCTCATATTTTGAGATCATCTAAATTAGTCATTAATTCCCTTTTGTTGTTGGTGTGTCTCCTCATTCCTCTTTCATCTCTCTTGTCCTTATTATCTTTCTCCCTTTTGTCATGCTGACACTGGTGACTTGCCTAGTGACTCAGAGCCAGGGGACCTGCTCCTCTCCTCACTCCTGGTCCAGGCAGATGGTAAGGAGGCTTCCCAACCACCACCAGTCAATCTTCTCTCCTTAGCTATGAAGGGCTCCATTGGTGGTACTGTGATACCAACTGGGTGACTTTCCAAATAGAAAGACATCCATTGCAGTACTTACATTGCTCACATTAAGAGCGTTGGCTCTGGCAAGATTAATTTCTGGAGTATCTGGCATTATGTGGATGGAAGTTTTGTCCTTGTCCCAAACTTCTCTGTACTTTGGCTATGGAGGGAACCAATAATAACACAATTACTTCATAATTTGTAATTTTGTTAGTTTCAATGCATAACTTGCAATTTTTCTGATCCAAAATCTTTTCATATTAAAGTTAAAGAAAGCTTCTAGAATCTTTTCACATAAGCTACTCAAATTTGATATGAAATCTGTATTAAAAACTTTTATTAACATGCTGAGTTTTTGTTTAAAATTAATAAGCAATCATGAGACAACCCTCTCAATATTATTTATTAAAATCTTTGCTATTTTAAATGTTATTATTAGATTACTAAGTTAATTATTTATCATTTATTTATAACACTAACCCAATGTTAATATAGAGAAAAAAGTAACTTACAATACTAATATTTTCAGCATTTGATTTAGCAAGAACAACTTCAGGTGTGTCAACAATACTAGTGTACTTGAGTTTCACCACAGGTGTTCGATAGACACTGTCTCGCAGGATCTCCTGGGCATTTTTGACTCTCAGTACTTCGGGGGACCCATCAGGCAACCAGCCAATGCCACGCATCCATTCCAAGTCAGCCTTGTAGATGGCCTGGGAAAGAAAACAAAGTTAGCTGAAAGCAGGTTTTTAAAAATTGTAGTAAAATAAGGAAACATTTTTTAATGTTGTATTTTATAATCCACAAACAATAATAAAAACCAAGCACTGGCCTGACAAACATAACTTCTCATATGCATAATGGTGCTTTGTTCTGCTTATTTTCTGTGGCAGAGCATCTGTGTTGGGTGCTTATGTGCATTTTAAAAAGCAGAATGATGTAGAAGGAGTCCTCTGTTTGGGGGATACATGGAAAATGTTTGAATAATATTAGGGAATCATCATACTAGCCAATGTGGACTTTAAAAAGCACTAATAATGGGCTCTCCAGTAAGTTCTCCACAAAGCAGCCAGAACAATGTTTTCAAAATTTGCAGTTCAAATCTGACGTCACAACATTCCCCCATCCTATGACATCCCATTGGTCTTACGATAAAGATCAAAATCCTTAACACGGACTAGAAGGTAAGAGATGATCTCGCACCAGTCCCTACCTATTTTTCCAGCCTCATCTTATACGTGCTTCCCTTTTAACTGTGCATTCTGACCATGTTGTCCTTTCAGGCTGCGGTTTGCATACAGTCCCCTTTGCATATGTTGGCCACTCTGCAGGTATGTCCTGTGTGTCATCCTCATGGAGCCAACTCCTGTTCTCCCTTCATATCTCCACGAAATCATTACTCCCTTAGGTAACTTTCCTCATCTCTCTTTCATAGCACCACGGGTCATTCCTTCTCAGTCATCTCATTTTTTACTGATATTGTCCAATTAACATCTATTTCTTTGTTATCAGTGTGAATTCCCTAATGTCCAGAACTTTGTCTAGTTTCTTCTTATTAATTCACAATTGCATCTTTAATGCTTGGCACATAGCATGTTTAATAAGTATTTTTAAAGGATAATTAAGAATTCAATCCCCAGCGCCACAGTTTTGATCTCAACTGGGTTTTCTTTTTTCAAAATAGCACCTCCCTTTTGCATTTTCTTGGTTATCTAAACCTGTTTCCCCAGACATAGGTAAGTGGTTGACCAGACAAAATTGCTCTATGCTAAACAACAGTTAATTTTTATGATAAACCATTGTGTTCTTCAGAAGTGATACTTTAATAACTAGTTAATAAGATACAAATCTCAGACTAAAAATGTAATAACAGGTTTGAAAACTGTAGGAAAATTTCTACTTTGATGAAGAATGACATTATATATTGCATATGAAGTTTGAGAGCCAAAATTCAGAAGAGATTCTCAGAGAGGATTACATACAGATTTTAAAATTGCCCTTCCTCATTTTCTAAGAACTTGATGGGTGTGCATGTCTGAATACTCTCATGTGGCTCAGGTTAATGAAGAGATTGCATTTCTTTAGAAAATGGCCTCCATCCACCAGTGAGCAATTCATTTCAAATGAAGGGCATAATTTCCAGTAAGAAACTCATTCATTATGAGAAAGAATCTCTTGAAGGGTAGGGGAACCAAGTTCAGATAATTAAAAAAAAAAAGGGTACCCCTTCTACAGAAGAAATAAATAGCCCGAGGGAATCCGTCATTCCCAAAACATTGAATGGGCATAAAACATGAGTAAATCTAAAAATACTCAGGTAAATTCACGAAAAACCACATTGTGAAGAACACCAAGCTAAGGGAGATCAGTGAATATGGACCATGCTGCTAACCTTTGATATCAGTTTTAAGGAATACAGCCCCATCTTTCTTCAATACATAGTTGAAGGACCACGAAAAAATTCTTATGTTTAACAAACTACAAACGCTGCAACACACTAACAAATCTATAGAAAAATCCTGATAGCATCGTTAACAAAGAAAATGAAAACTTTCTGAATAAACCCAGCAGTAAAGTAGGCAATTAATAAACTTGGAAAAGATATTAAACAGAGCTGCTATTGTAGGGAGATGTGTTTCCCAAGCCCTGGAAGCCGTGACCAGGCAAAGCTGTGGAATAGCTCGCCCCCCAGGCACCCGGGCTGGTGCTCCCCTCCCAAGCACACACTTACATCACTCTGCAGGTCATATGCTTTCCTGGCTTGGATCACATCATTCTGGTCAGGCAAGCAAGACCAGTGGTGCAGGTACTGGCGGTAGTCCATGTTGCTTGCTAGCGCCTGGCCTTCTTTGGCGGCACTGATGGACACCATGTCCCCTGGGATGGAGATCTTGGCCTTGCTGTCATTGTAGGCCTTTTTGTACAGCCTGTCGTTCTGCATCTTCAACACATTTGCTGCCCAGGACAGTTTAGGGTCTTCCTTGGCGTTGCGACATCCAATGTAATGGCCTTTCTGTTTCTCATAAGCAGTTTTATATAGATACTGGTGGATGTGAGAATAGAAGAAAGAAGAGTTGCTTTCCTAAACTCAGTTTCTCTAGGCAGCCTCCTCAAAATAACTCCATTCCCTTAGATTACCCTTTTAGGGGCACTGTGAGCATCTCTAAGACAAGAATGTTATGAGCACCTCTAAGGTAAGAACTGTGCTTCTACATTATCTTTCTCAATATAGGTTTGTCCAGTGTTTCTCAAACTTCAGTCATTGTCACCCTCACATGTTTTGCCGCAAGCAAGTACCTCCTGTACTTCATACTGTAAGTCAACTTTATTCTTTGTTTAAATAAATTTATTCTTAAAGTGTAAACTTACTTAAATTTTTATTTTAAAATTCATAATTCTATCTAAATGGAATAAAATCAGTACTTTTCTAGCACACATTAAAATAAATATGTAACCATTTAAAAAAATGCTTGTTCAGGTGCTGCAGAAAATTATCACAGGAACCATCCATGCATGCTGCACTTTGAGAAACGAGAATTCTTTGAGAATTCTTTTTACCCATAAACCTCTGTAAGTGCTTGTAAATTAACTGATATAGAGAAGGTATTGAAAACAAAATCGAAATCTGTGCTTAAACATAAGGAGATCAGAAGTGAGCAGAGATGCATGAGGGTTGTCAAGCTATTGTAAAAGTTGTTCTTGAATTTGGGATTTTAAAACAAGACACTAATAACAATGATCTCCGTTCTAATTACATATAACTCTTGGGGAATTGAGCTAAAGATGAGTACAGTATTAACTCCCTGTGTGTCCACTACTTAGGGTTTGTTAAAGTTGGGTAAGGAGGAGCTCTTACATCACTAGCAATATCCCTGGAAGCCCTGGCATGCTGGATCCCAATGGCATCAGCTCGCAGGTCATAACCTGTCATCTTGATGTCTTCCCAAGCTTGCTGATAGTGTTTCTGCAAAAGGAGATTGCAATGCCACAGTCAATCTGAAGAGGGAGCTACAGAGTCAGCGTTACTAATACACTCAAGAATACATGTTAACGGTTACAGTAAAAATTAATCTCGTAAGATTTATAAAATCGGCTAGTTTCTTATTGAACTTAAGTTCTAGTACATTTTTAATGAAATTTTGTAAACTCTCCCAATAGCGTTTAAAGAAGGAAATTTAGGAGACAGTAAACCATGGGAAAATGAGAAAAATAACATATATTGTTTGACTTTTAAAAGAAAAAAAAATCAATGATGTACTACTAAAACTAGAATTAAGTATTACTATACATGTATATGTATATTTTTGTTACATGTTTTGGTGAGACCACTGCATTTTTTCTTCCAACAAAGATAAGGACACACATCTCTATATTTTAAACACACACACACACACACACACACACACACACACACGACACTTATCACTAGCTTAAAGATTGGAAGTAAAAGGAATGGTAGGAAAATGCCTTTTGCTACACTCTCTCTGGAGTATGTTACTGAAAGATTCAGTTAGGCAGAAAACAGGGTGTAAAGCAAGTGGCTGTGGTGCGCCTTACGTTGCTGATCTGCATGGCGTTGATTTTAGACTGTAGCATCACCGGAGTGTCAGCTGGCACATTCACATTAGTCTTCTCTTTGTCCCAGGCATCACGATACAGTGGCTGGTAAACATGAAAAACAAAGAATCACTGATTAGTAAGTCTATTACCACCTGAATAAAATGATAGGGACAATTAAAAGTTCTCTTTGAATGTTCTCAGATAAAAATGTAGATGAAATTTTGTTTTCACTTGTGTTTTTATGTAGAAGGTGCCAGTAGTGACTTCAACAAGAAGAATACATTCATGTGAGATATAATATGAATGTAACATGGTAGAAAATGGATCTTTTTCTGTTTATTCACATGTAATTATCTGGCTGGCAAACCCACAAGGCAGGTAGTTATGATGGTCACATCACTAATCAAGTCCTGGTTTTCCTGGTCCAAATGACTATCATAATGTCTAATATTAAAATGTCCCTGGACTTTTTAACTTATTTTATGACTGAATACCAATAAAAAGGTGGCAATTTATGATCACGGTATTTAACTTGTGGACCTGTATTATAGGCAAGGGCTCAAAATGTGTTCAAAGTGTGTATCCAAAACTGTGGAACATGAAGGTGCCCACCACACTGATATTGACCAAAGAGTTACCTGAGTAAATGAAATGTGGATGCTGTTAATTGATTGGCTGTATAAAATTCTATCTGGACACATGTACCTTCAAGATTCTAATGCTGGTCTGAGCAGTTTAAAGTTCACATTAGAATTTTTACCAAGATTTGTTCCATTGGAACATATCATGAACCCGGCTTACCTCACTGATCTGTAGAGCATTGATCTTTGCGAGGATGACTTCAGGAGTATCAACTATGCTGGTGAACTTGAGGGCCTCGGGTCTTATACGATACAACCTTTCATTCAGGAGGTTTTGGGCATTCTTCACTCTCTCCACTTCCACAGAACCCTCTGGTAACCATCCAATACCCTTCATCCATTCCAGGTCTGATTTGTACACGTTCTACAGGAAGGAGAGAACCACAGCATACAGAAGAGTCAAACTTGTCTTCCAGGGCACAGTGCCAGCAACCTGCACGTCTCTGTTTAAATCATCTGCTGGCTAAACCCAGGTACTCAAAAATCAACATTCAATGTTAATATTTGGGCGTTACATCTCTGTCACACATCTCTGGGAGAAGTTCACAGCATCCTACAGGAATTGGAGCAGGGCTGCTAAGTGGCACTTTTAGAATGCCAGACAGCAATGGCACATAATTTTGTTTTTATATGAGGTTGAGCTTCTGTGCTCACCACTTGAAATCTGCCTTTTATGTATCACTGGGAATAACACCTTTAGGAATTTAGGAGAATTCCTAAATGCACATATAGTGAGAAAAAAAATACATACCTGTATCTATATACACTTTTTTCTCTATATAAAAATATAATAAAATGCATACATAATGAGAAAAAATACATATCTATATCTATATACATGTTTCTCTATATATAAAAATATAGAGAAAATATAAATATTTAAAAATATATTTTAAATATTTTTTCCTATATGTGTCAGATAAACTTGAAATCCAACCTCTCCTCATGCTTAATCTGTTTCTGAAATTTAGATATCTGATCATACAAATATAATAGATCAGAAAAACTGGGACTGAAATTTTTTACCTAATTTCTGCTTTTACTGCTATTAATTTTACTGCTAAAAGAATAGCAGTGATTTTCATCTTGATGAATAAGGCCTTGCCACATAAGAAGGAATTCTCTATAAGATAAAAAATGGTCAGAAAAATTCTACTGTAGAAAAAAATGTGTAGAAAAATTCCACACTTCATGAAGTGTACAAAATATGTTAAGTTCTATTAAGATTCCCATTTACATTATATCCATAGGGAACACACTGTGAGTAGATACACAAACACGCATCGCTTCAGGAGTCTGATGATAAGGTACGTACATCGCTCTGCAGTTCATAGGCCTTCTTAGCCTGGATAACATCATTTTGATCTGGCAGGCATATCCACTGGTGCAGATAATTGCGATAATCAATGTCACTAGCCAGGACCTGGCTTTTCTTGGCTTGAACAATTGACATCATGTCCAACGGTGACTGGTGGATTCCTTTAGACTTCTCATAAGCTTTCTTGTATTCTCTGTCACTCTGGATCTTGGCAGCATGGATAGACCATACCAATTTGGGGTCATCTTGTAGGCTGCGGAAACCCACATGGTGGCCCAGTTGCTTGCGGTAACCTTCTTTGTATTTGTACTAAAGTTGAGAAAAATCAGATAAAGAGATATAGGAAAATAATGTATTAAGGAGTGCTTTTCATTAAATGCTTTCAAAACATTTTCTTAGCTTTAATGTAAATTGGCTCAACATTGGCAGTCATTACATATTTTTCAGTTTATTTTAAGGTAATTAGAGAGGGTTATTTAGGTAGTTTTATAAAGAACGTGAATAAATCAAGAGGGGGATATATGGTGAACAAGAGTAACAAAAAAATAATAATAGCTAACATTTACTGAGCAATCACTATACGCCAGACACTAGTATGAGTGTTTCAAATGTATTAGGCTAATCCATATGAAATTCCTGAACTCTTTAGTTAAAAATAGTTGATAGTGACAATTATAATCTCATTTATCCTTGCAACATCTCTATGTAGTAGTTTTATTATTATAACATGTTTCAGATGGGGAAAATAAGGCACAATGGGGTAACCATGGTCCCCTAGGTTGTCTGACAAGTGGAACGTTAGGTCAGATGGTCCCTCAAGTGTACTGGAGGTCCCTCAGGTAGGAAAAAGTCATGTGTGTGGCTTAAGAGACTGACAAAAACGGTGCATGTTTCAGGAATGGAAAGCAAGGTTGTTGGTTTGGATCAAAAAATGGTAACAAAAGGCCTGTGGACAAGAGTTTCCAGATTGTCCACGCTTGTCCTAAGTGTCTCAGGATTAGAGTAAGATAGTTTTTCTTTCTTTTTTATATATGGATAACACAGGAAATTTTAGACAAAAGGGAGAAAGAAAGAACCAGACATAAAGCTGATACTATAGCTCAACTTTTTTTTAGAGATAAAACTGAGAAATAAGAAGGAAGAAACAGCTGGATACATGACATAAAAAATAGAGAAGAGGATAATTAGTTTGACTATTAGTAAATTTTAAAATTACTGTTAAATGCACTTCAAAGGTTACTAAGAGCATTATACATAAGCCTCCAGGAAAAAGTCTTGTATATAAAATGGGATTTCAGTCTTAAGTCTTTGTGTATGAAACTTTTATCTGGGATTTATACTTATGGAGAATGTCATTAATATTTTGGGAGTAAAATCATATTGCATTGATTCCTGAATTTTTCCCAAGAATTTTACACAGACCCTTTACAATATTTTACTTCTCCTTGGAAACATCTTAGAAGTTATTTACATAGATACCTCATCTATGCTTACCTTAATGATTTGCATCCCATTTTAATGTTTTTATTTTTTCAATATTATTATTTTTTTTTAGCTGAGTCATCCTGCCACCTGTTGGCAGCTCAGCGGCAGCTCAGCTCGGGTTGGGAATCAAACCGCTAATTGTTCAGAGCTCGCACTCTTGAACAAGGTCTTAACCAACTGAGCTACTCAGCCGGCCCCTATTTTAATGTTTTAAATAAAGTCTTTTAGTGTAAGACAAAACGTGATTGTTTGCATAAATTAAAAAAAATTCTTGAAAAATACTCTACCTACTTGTACAGAGAAGAAAAACCACAAGGAAATAGAAGGCGCTGTACCTCACTGGCGATTTCTCTGGAGGCTTTGGCATGCTTGATTTCAATGGCGTCTGCTCTTAAGTCATAGCCTTTCTGCTTGGCCTCATTCCAGTCTTTCTGATAGAGTTTCTGTTGAGGGAAAAATATTGTGGACAAGGATTGAAAATAAGTAACTATACTCAAAGTAGTCCTAATATGAATCATAAGGTATAATGTATATGACAGCAGCATAAGAAAAAAAAGTCACTTCTGAATCCTTTTGGTTGTTGGCTACTTTGTGGAGTACCCTGGTACTTCTGATTAAAATTTTAAAGGTAAACATCTAAATCTAAGATCTAAATTTAAACATCTGAATTCAAACTAATGTTTGAAGATTTGCACTTATCACAATATGGTCCACTTCGGAAAAATTTTCATTATATAATACATGGAAACTAAGAACCAACGGTGAAGTTAGAGAACCTTCACAAGGTACCATATAAGACCTGATAAGATTTTTTTCTAATGTTATCCTTTGAGTGTTTAGAGGTCTTTGCTAAAGAGATGTGACCTAGCTATCACACATATCCTATACTTTGTGTATAATTAAAAGTTGTCTTTTGGCTTTTCTTATGGCCTTGAAATGTCAAACAAAAAAAGTTCTTGATCAATCAAAAACCTATAAAGACAGTAGAGACTGTAACTGCTTATACTTTCTTGTGCAAGAGGCATTGAACCAGGGATTTCATTGTTCTCGATTAATATACAATGAAACTGAGCTGTAAACACTGGATATAAGACAATAATTTCAAGGTTGAAAGGGAATACCAATAAGATTTGCGTATCCCAACTCTTGCAGTCCAGGCACTGAGCCTTGTATCTAAACTAATGTTTAAAAGGGAATTTCCATTCATATTGTATTGGGAATGGCAGCTAAAGAAAAAGTGCCTAGAACCAAAAGCTGTAAACATTTCTAAGAGAGGTAATTTGTTGATTATAACACACTCCATAAGCTGACAGATATCGTTCAATAAAGGCATTTACACTTCATATTTATGTCTCTTACATTGCTGATTTGCAAGGCATTGATTTGGGCCTGTAGCATGACTGGCGTGTCAGAAGGAATGTTGATGTTGGTTTTATCTTTATTCCAGTCTTCTTGGTACAGTTTCTGTGGAGAGAAGGGAAATATTATTTTAACACAGCAATAGAGAATGGATATCTGAAATACTAAGTCTTAACGACTATTTAACTTGGAAAATGTTTTTATATATGTTTGTGATGATTAATTTTATGTGTCAAGTTGGCCAAGCCACAGTACTCAGACATTTGGTCAAACATTATTCTACATGTTTCTGTGAAGGTATTTTTTAGATGAGATTCACGTATCAGTAGGCTTTGGGTAAAGCAGACTACCTCCCTAAGGAGGGTGGGCTTCGTAAAATCAGTCAAAGACCTTCATTAAAAAAAGACTGGCCTCCCCTGAGCAAGAGGGAATTCTGCCAGCGCATTGCCTTCAGGCTTGAACTGCAAGTCCTTTCTGGATCCAGCCTGGTGCCCCACCCTGCAGATTTTGGACGTAATGGCCTCCACAATTGTGTAAGCCAATTCCTTAAAAACGAATGTCTCTCATACACATGCTATTGGCTCTGCTTCTCTAGAGAACCCTGACTAATATAATGTTATACCATTTAATACATAACATTATGCCACAGGTTTTAGCATTTTATAGGACTTAAAAAAATATTTGTTTTCCTAAATTGTAATGGAGTGACATTTTCCATCTCAGTGTTTCAAAGTACGTGTGTGTGGTTGGGAAAAGGCACGTTGGCATTCGTCAGAGCTCTGCTTTGTGTGTGCCTTCAGAGAACTAGTTGCTCCCATCACTATAGTCTTTGAACAGTCCGCTTACTCAGTGTGGGTGGCCTCATCTGCACAGAGTCCTGTGAAAGGAAAGCATGGTAGTAGGACAGCTCTTACCTCACTGATTTGCAGAGAATTGGCTTTCGCCAGGACAATTTCTGGAGTGTCCACAATGCTAGTGAATTTCAAGGCTTCCGGTCGCGTCCTATAGAGCCTTTCATTCAGCAGGTCTTGAGCACCCTTCACCCTGGTCATTTCGACTGAGCCTTCTGGCATCCAGCCGATGCCACGCAGCCACTCCATGTCTGCTTTATACACACTCTAAAAAACAGTAGAAAATTTCTTCCAATGTTAGACACACCATTCCTTCACTGAAAAATAAAGTTCATGGGATTGAGGGGCTGATACACACAGAAGATGGTGGTTCCAAAAGTGTAGGACCTGAGATTTTACATGATGTGGGGTTTTAATATCAATGACAGAGTAATTTGTAAAAGCATAATTCTTTATGCTAGCCATGAATAGGAATAAAACAGTAATAACATTCAATTGCATGGTAATTATTTAAAATTAAAAAAAATTTATATGACCGAAACATTATTAAAAGGAAATTTTGTCGGATCTCACTCAACTTTTATCCTGTAATAACTGACCCAAGGAAAGTACATTTAATGTTTTGGATATAGTATAGTGGTGGTAGTTTTTTTTTTTAACATTTATATAATTTATGTTTATCTGAACTATATTTTCATTGCCAGAAAATAAAAATGATATGAAGTAAATAATCTGGAATCTGGGCCAGTGAATAAAGGACATGGCCAAAGCAGGGTTCTTTATCTACATTCTTTGCTCCCCTGACATAACTCCTAAATATGGGTTTTTTAAAATTAAACAATGTGAATGGCACCCCCCGGGGTTGTGCAGTATACAACCCATGGATGGGTCTGTCCACAGAGGCACTGACTGGACAACTAGGAAATCTATGCCCTCCCATTCCACCTTTCCCAAAGTTCATGGTACGTACATCACTCTGCAGTTCATAGGCCTTCCTTGCTTGGATGACATCATTTTGATCAGGTAAGCATGTCCAGTGATGCAGGTAATTTCGGTAATCAATGTCGCTGACTAGAGTCTGACATTTCTTGGCCAACAAGATGCCTAACATGTCCACTGGGCTGCTGAACTTGGTCTTCCACTTCTCAAAGTCCTTCTTATACTCTCTTTCACTTTGAATCTTCCCTGCATGTATAGCACACATAATCTTGGGGTCATCTTCAACGCTCTGGGCTCCAATGTGGTGGCCTTTCTGTTTTTCATATGCTTCTTTGTATTTGTACTAAAATGTCAGAAATATAGGTTTAGAAACCCAATTCTAAGACCATATACATGCTGACAATTACAGACAACACGAACACTTACAAGCAAAGGAATACAAAATAAGAATTTCATATTGCAAATATTTTGGAGTCTCTGAACAATTTTAAACTAACATTTTATACTATTGTAAACAACTGTAGTGTAATCATATGTCATCATTGGTGGAAACCTTTCCCACAGCAACTCTAACTACAATTCCAAAGTATATTTTTCTTCTCTATGACAACAAAGGGAAGTGTCTTAGGAGATAGGAAGCAGGAATGGAGGGATACGTGTGTAAGCAGTTACAAAGTGTGGCCCACTGGCTACCCTACAGTTGTTCAACAATGTGACACCAAGGGGGCTAGACGGAGGGCACTTACGTCACTGGCAATGTCCCTTGAGGCCTTGGCGCTTTTGATGGAAATAGCATCAGCTTTCATATCGTAGTCCTTCATCTTTGATTCATCCCATCCCTTGGTGTAAAGTTTCTATGTGGAGGACAAGACACAATAGAGAAATGAAAGTGTTACAGACAGTTAATAGGCCAATCCCAGAAAGGAAGGTGATACGATAGAAAAAGTACTTTAATTACTCCTAGAAAGGCTTAACAATCAGGAAGTCTCTTACTTGGCTGACATTGACTGAATTGCTCTTGGCTAGCAATATTTCTGGGGTGTCTGGCATCACGTGGATGGAAGTTTTGTCGGCATCCCAAGCTTCCGTGTATAAACGCTATGAGGAAGGTGAGGTAAAACCTTTGTTAAAGCCAATACTTTACAGTTATTATCAAATTTAACTCATTAAACTATAAAATAGCTTTTTAAAGTTTATTTTGGAGGTGAGGGAAGCAAAAGGGTAATGTGGAGAGTGAGACATGGCAATATTTAAAAAGCTGTATGATAGTTTCATAGCTAATATGAAACCACATAATGATATCAATTATTTATTCTTTTCATTCAGGGAAACTCAAGTTTACTCATAGGACCTCCAAGGTTGGAGCTTGGCTGTAGAACTATGATTTAGTAGAAATCCCTAGACTTTAGAGTCAATCCCAAGTTCAAACCCAACTCCACTACATCCAAACTGTGTGATCTTGAGAAAAGTACACAATGCCTCACATTCTTCATTTTTTAGAGGGGGATAATTGTGTCTCTTTTTATTAAGCATTTTTTGAAGATAAGCCACAACATGCAAAATGCATGAGTTACAGTAGGCACTCAACAAATCTTATGGTGTTTCATATTGTTATTATCACTGCAGTTGCTGTTGATGGGTGTGGTATAGAATAGAATTTCTTGAGTTTTAATACCCCTAACTCTGGAGTTCCAAATTGGCTGAGAGCCAATTTCATATTCTGTACTGAGCACTCTGCCTTACTATCTGAATGTTTGGAAGATGTCCAGACAGGTGTGGGAGGATTCAGAAAAGTTCAATTCAGTCTAAAATGTGCAAATTGAGGATCTACCCTTTGGATAAAAAATTAACCCAGTCTCAATAAACAGAGTGCTAGAACTCAGAAAAAAAGAAGTGATCATCTGTCTTGTGTAGTAAAACTGAAAGCAACAATAGCAGCTCGCTTTTCAAAATTGATTTCCACACCTGAGGTAGAAGAGTAAACCAGGCAACTAATTCGAGTTGTGCCTGGCACTGCTATAAACACTGGTTCCCATACTTCAGAATGAAATGCGAAATGGTTATACATTTCTCACTTTATGAGCTGCATTCGTGGGAGGTCTGACTCAGGCAACTGGAAACAGCTGGAGACTAACCTTGTTCATTGTCAGGGCATTAGTCTTGGCCAGCACAATTTCTGGGGTGTCGGTAATGCATGTGAATTTGAGCTGGTCTGCAGGCTGGCGGTATATCCTGTCACTCAGGATTTCTCCAGCTCTCTTCACCTTCTCAACCTCGACAGAGCCAATGGGCACCCATCCAATGCCTCTCATCCACTCAAGATCAGCCTTGTAAATAGCCTGGAAATAAAATAATGTCAAATATTTACAGACATTACCTAGACAGCCTGATGTCTGATCCTGAGCTAGCATATACAGATGATGTGTAATTCTGAATCTCGCTTGTGTCAATTCCCGGGAAGACCCACGGGATGGCCTTATTTTGGTACAGAGTTGCTAGTCAAACATTTTGTCCCTGAAGGTAGCCAGTGTTTACTGTTCTAAAGATCCAGAAATCTCTCTAATAATATGTGATTTCGCTGATACAAAACCATTTTAAGGAAATTACTGCCTGTCTACTGATAGAAAGAGTTTATTTTCCGATTTGATTGCCCAAACCTCCTTGTGTGGGAATAATACTCTGGTAGAATACATTTTGCTCCTTTCTCATTGGGCAATGGCCTTCACAGCCAGTCGTGTAATATAAAGAAAGGATGACCACTACTGGCTGACCACACGTTGAATTCATGTGTTTTCTGGGGACATCAAAAAGGGAGTCTTTTTCCATATAATTCTATATATGTGCTTCTAAGCCAAAGAGTACATGTATTTTCACTCTTATTTATCTTATTTTCAGTCCCTTGTTTGTGTTATAATTCAAGTAAAAAATATATTTGTATCTTTCATTTTTCTTCTTTGAATTTAAATAATTGGTTGAAGGGGAAGTCTTCTCATTAGTAAAAGTAACAATTCTTTTTATTTTTATGGATTTTGGGAAAATTCCTTTTTACAATGCCACTACTTTTATCATCATTTCAAAAGTGACTACCTGTGAGAGCCTGATGAAAAAAACAAGGAGCTACTAAACCATTGATTGAGTCCTAAGGACAATTTACAGACTGACAACGAAGTGCCTAACATATTCTAGGGAGCTATTGTTTTCACCTTCTTAGATGAATTATCTCAAAGTATAATTCATTCCTAAACTTTTCACATTCCTTCTTAGACATTTTCTATAAGTTAAATAGTCAGAAAAATGATAATGCAATCAATTCATTTTGAAAATTAGGGTTTGAAACTAGAAATTCTTAACCTGGCACCAATGAACTTGGATAGAAAAAAACATACCTTTATTTTCATTAACCTCTAACTGAAATATAGCATTTCTTTCAGTTATAAGTTTAGGCAAGAGATCATAGTAGTAAACACTACATGGGACTTGGTCAGCAAAGAAAACACAAATATTTTCCTATCCTATTACAGTTGTTGCAGACATCTTGAAATATTTATGCTCATCAATTCTTTGCAATTAAACTAGTTATTATATCCACTACTAGTTCTTTTTATTTAGAGTGTTAATAAAAAAGCATGTATATTACTATGTCACAGACTTAGTTTAATATTTTGATAACTATATTTTGATGTGATTGGTTTCTTTTGAGACTATATATATATATATATATACATATATATATATATATATAATTATTTTATTTTATATATTTCATGACATTGTCCTGAGAAGTTGTCCATAGGTTTTACCAGATTGCCAAAAGATTCCATGGAACAAAAAAAGTTAGAACCTCTTTTTAAAAAACCTTTTAAACACATGCTAAAGAATGTTAGCTACACTCACATCACTCTGAAGGTCATAAGCCTTCCGAGCTTGAATGACGTCATTCTGATCAGGCAGACAGGTCCATTCATGAAGGGGATGCTTGTAGTCTATGTCGCTTACAAGGATCTGGCACTTCTTGGCCAGCACCACCCCCAGCATGTCCACTGGGCTGCTGTACTTGGTCTTCGACTTCTCAAAGTCCTTCTTATACTCCCTGTCACTCTGGATCTTGGCCACGTGCATGGACCACATCATTTTGGGGTCATCCTTAATGTTTCGGGCCCCAATGTGGTGGCCGAGCTGTTTCCGGTAGCCTTCCTTATATTTGTACTGAAAAAAACAAAAGGGATATGAGTCTAATGTCTATCACATTTTATAGCTTCATACACACATTATTTCTTTTGATTGTCCCTACCACTGGCGTGAAGGAGCAAGGTTACTATTATCAACCCCATTGTATATAATAGAAACCTAAAGCCTAAAGGGGTTAAGTGATTTATTTGTTCAAGGTCACATCATAAGTAGGTGTCAGAGCTGAGACTGTAATGGAGTAGCTTGTGGATCCTAATATTTTCCCCCTTCTCCTAAACTATACTACTTAGTTTACATTGGATTGCTTAACAAGTAAAGGCAAAACATCTTGTGTAATCTAAAAGAGCATCTACTTAATTTAAAGATGTGGTTATTTTTTCCTGAAAATGCTTAAATATTTAGACTATTCTAGAATAGACCCCTTGTAATTAGAATTTATAATGAATTCCCTGGTCAAGGATATGGGCTACATTTAGATAGTTTCACCAGGAAATACCTTCCTTATTAGCCTGTCAGTGTTACTGATCTTTCACCACGAGAGACTCATGCCTTGGGTCAACACTCTATCTACTTTTAAAATTCAAAAATAACATGTTATGGTCTATTTTACCATGAGGTGATCGTAGTGTGAGTTCTCCAGCTTAGGAGCCGAAAAAGCTTATGTAACAGAAGGAAGGAAGTATAAACCTAAGGCATGGAATCTTTCTAGAAGGAAAGTCTATATTTGGGTTCTAAGCAGCCCTGGTACAGAATGAGGGCCTTAGACATCCTCAGGAAACGTTTCTCATGAGAAGGGAAGGAATAGAGAGAAGAGACACGTGGGTACTGAGGAAAAGCTTTGCTTACTTCTCAGCTTGTTCTTGTAATCAATAAGGGGCATCTTGGTAAGAAAACCTCACTAAAAGTTACAAAGGACAAACCAAAATTCTAAAACGCATCCATCATCTAGTCTTCCTTTAATGCCAGAATAAATGAATAGAAGTAGTAGGAAAGTGTTCACATTTATATTGACTGATTTGCATGTGCTACAATTTGTTGTTTGCTTTTTGTTATTGTTTTTTTTTTTAACAAATATCTGGGTCAACTACTGCTCAATTTCTGACACTCAAAAATATGAGCCTTTTTTAGTGCCCATAAAACACTTATTTTTAAAAGATATACCTCCATCTTTGACTTATTAACAGGTGTAATGGACATAGCATCTTGTATTTTTCTTTGTTTTTATTTGTCACTTTGTACATAGGGGAATCATTACACGAAATTTAGACATGTAGGTACAATAAAGATTCTGTCAAGAAAGCTATAAAAGCTTCCATTTCTGAACATCTTTGAATAAGAAATGCCTCTTCCAAAAACATCAACTTACATCACTAGCAATTTCTCTTGAAGCCTTGGCAGCTTTGATTGGAATGGCATCCAAACGCAAGTCATAGCCTTCCTTCTTGGACTCTTCCAAAGCAAGTTTATAGAGTTTCTGTAGGAAAGAGAGTCATCAAATCATTCCTCCTTTCATAAAAAATAAAACTGTTAATTATTAAATTTTTTCATCCTTATTTAAACAACATAAACAAATCCACAAAGTCATGTATTAGGATGGGTTAGTATAAAACTTGGCTTCTCGGGCACTCAAGTAATTTAAGGCACATATTCTAAATTTTGGGATTTTACTGATTGAAAAATTTCAAAAATTTTGGGGGGATATCAGCATATGGTTGCCAAAATTTTGTTTTGCCAAACAAGCACATGTTAAACAAAACACACAACAGCAACAATAAAAACCACCAACTATTTACTATCACCATCATAATATAAAAGAAAGGCCATCTTAATACCAAAGAAGGAGAAAGAATAAGACAGTATTTTAAAATTGCATGTATTTGGATTCATAAAAAACTCAATGTATTGTCCTTATTATTATTATTATTTTTCTCATTTTGCTGTGGACTATCACCCCACATTGTGATTGATCGATAGAGAAGGGTTTCAGAATCATCACCCTGATGAAAGTGTTGATCCTGAAAGAGATGCCTGGAAAAATGGTTGCAAATAACATTAAATGGTAAACAGAACATTAATGAAGCAGCAAAACAATACAGGGCATGATCACTGGCTGGGTTCCAAACCCGTGCCTGCCTACTAAATAGTTGAATAAATGACTTGATACCCACACTGACGTGTAGTGGAAGGCTTTAGAAGTATAACTCCTATTGGGATATTTCTCCATAAGCATTCCATTCCCTGATACTCTGTTGCTAAAACACTGGCCTACTTTGAGGACCTACCACATGGCCCAAAACTGAATCAAGAGATAACTGTCTCTTTTACTGGCAATGTTTATTTGGAGTATGTATAATAAACTAGTCAAAACGTCTCACTAAGGAAATGGTTCCAATAGTTCATTTTTGCCTTTCTGTTTTTTATAAGATCAATAGTTTACTCACATCACTGTAGTTTATTCGGTTGAGTTTGGCTAGCATGATTTCTGGTGTGTCAGGCATGACATGGATTGTTTTCTTATCCTTGTCCCAGGCTTCAGTATATAAGCGCTATGGAAAAAAAAAAAAGGTAAGAAAACTTTTTGGAACTCACAGACTTTATTTTTTTATTCTGTGCCACTCAGCTCTCCTTTATACAAAGTAGAAATAAAATGATTAAAGTTGCATAAATTCCTACCTTTCATCTAGATGAATTACTATTTCTAAGAGTATTTAATCACTATTTCATTGATTCAGTGTTTTCACTGTTTCTTATTAAAATTATTTAATAGTTCTGAAAAGTATAATTGGGTTGTGGTATTTAAATTTTGTAATTATGAAATATTACAGCACATAGTATTTTTAACATCAGTTTGATATTTTGAAGTTTTGCTAAGTAACTATGGTGTTATAATGGAAAAATCATTTCTGAAGGTATCATAAATCCTATAGGAATCTTTAAAATGTAGTGATATGTCAGAATGTTACCTTGTTCTATGGTGAATTCTGATATCTAATGCTGAGGAGTGAAGGCTCACCTTATTCATGTTTATAGCATTGCTCTTTGCCAGCACCTGCTCAGGGGTGTCAGTTATGCTGGTAAATTTCAGTGCATCTGGACGCTGACGGTAGATATTATCACTCAGTATCTCTGTGGCCCGCTTGGCTTTAATAACTTCCAAGGAGCCAATCGGAACCCAGCCAATGCCTTTCATCCATTCAAGGTCTGCCTTATACAAATTCTGCAAATCAACAGATAAAAAAATGCATTTATTAATTAGTGTTTCAGATTCATAGTCACAAAATGGCTCATACTAGAGAAATACAAGAGCATAGGTGAACAGTTAAGGCTACCAGCACAGCTGATCACTCATTTATAAATATTATTGAATCCTGAGTATATATTTTTTTCTAAGCATTTTTTTGGTACAGAGGATTGTACCCAGAATGATGAGAGAGAGATCTTTTTAAAAATTAAAAGACACAGTCATGTCCTTGAAGGTATTACAAAATTTTTACACAAGATAAGTTATTAGATATTTCCCTAATTATTCATTTTATTTTCTTAATAGGGCATTCTAATTGTTAATAAGAATTAGATGATTTGTTTTGAAAAAGACAAGCATGTCTTAGTATTTTCCTGTCAGTAGGAATAAAATATGAATGTTTTTAAAAACAATTTAGTATAAAATAATTCTGTTCCCTCTCTCCGCACTACCCTCCATTGACATATACACACATTTCCACCACTTGAGCCAAAAATGTGCATCTACGTATTTTTGAGAACTAAGTTTCGTCTAACTCAGACAAAGGAAGCCCAAATCACTAGGAAGAAATATACCTGTATAAAATTGATAATATCTATTTTATTTCCTCTTTTACATATAACTTTCAGGGAAGAAAATTTGTGAAATAAATTGTAGTGCTTCCAATGGGAAGCCGTTTCCATATAGCCAATTGTATATGATGGAAAATATACAAACAAATTCCAGTGCATTGCGACTAGTCAGAACCCATGGACATGTTTCAGATCATGCAGAACCAGCCTCGGGGAGACTTACATCACTCTGGAGGTCATACGCTTGCCGAGCATGAATGATATCATTCTGGTCGGGCAGGCACGTCCACTCATGCAGAAGATGCTTATAGTCCACGTCACTAACCAAAGCCTGACATTTCTTGGCCAAAACGATACCAAGCATGTCCACTGGGCTGGTGTATCTGGTCTTGTATTTCTCAAATTCTTTCTTGTACTCGCGGTCGCTCTGCACTTTGGCGATGTGGAGGGACCACATCATCTTGGGGTCATCATGGATTGCTCGGGCGCCAATGTGGTGGCCCAACTGCTTACGGTAGGCTTCTTTGTATTTGTACTGAAAGAGAGAACCCAGTCAATGTGAGGAAGTATGAAGTGCTGTTCCCTGTTGCTCTTTCTGTGGTGAAGCTTTTCTAGGAAATCCTTCAGACACCAGGAGAGTTGCATCCCATGCTGCTGAGATGCTACATATTGGAGTGTGCTGACTCCCAAAGAAGAGGGTGGTGTGCTTATTTTCAAACGTCCACAGGATAACTCCACAATGATTCCTTATAGTATGCTAAACATTATATTTTGACAAAAAGTAATTAAAAAGTGAACATTGAAACGGTGAGCTCAACTACAGAGATCATCAGTGTCTCAGCAGTGGATGGGCACATCTGAGGTGTGTTTACATGGTTCATTAATTTTATTTTTCTAAGGCATTCTGAGAAATAATTTCCTCTGCACAAATAATCTGGGGGGGGGTGTAGTTTAAAACTGGGAAATGTTTGATGGGTATAAAGTATCAGATTTTGCAAGATTAAAAAGTTCTGAGGGCCAGCCAAGTGGCTCAGTTGGTTATGAGTTTGCTCAAGAGTTTGAGTTCTGAGCAACAGCGGTTCGATTCCCAGCCTGAGCTGAGCTGCCGCTGAGCTGCCAACAAGTAGCAGGATGGCTCAGCTAAAAAAAAAAAAAAAAAAAAAAAAAAAGTTCTGGAAATCTTTTGCACAACAGTGAGAATATGATTAATGCCACTGAACTGTATGCTTGATAATTGTTAAGATAGCAAATTTTATGTTATGTGTTTTTTTATCATGATAAAAGAGAAAAAACTACAAAAGTGGACAATATTGCTACTCTTGGATTAATGTTTAAATTGTCAAGGAATCTGATGTTTTCATTTTTAGAGTAAAGGAATATTGATTTTTGTGGACCTCTCAGCAAGAAAATTGACAGCTTTTTTGCTGCCCTGTGTTCTTCGTCAAGCCATGGGGGAGAACTCAGCTAAATTTCTCTGGCATTTTTGCCTTGAGTGTATCCTGAGGGGAGCTCAAAAGGCTTTAATTAAGGCACTCAGTCTTATTAAGCAAAGACCAAAAGACAAGTCAAAGGAACTACATTCTAGTCCCGGCTTTGTCCTATGATGCCTGTGATCTTGGCAGGTTACCTACTATCTCAATGCCTCAATTTATTTGCCTATACAATGAAGGGGTCAAGACGGATGCTGACTAAAGAGACCTCCAGGTGCGTTCCAATAATGTGATTCCAGCAGTGGCTGGCCTATTGATACCAAATGTAGGGACTTGATCAGCTCTTACATCACTGGCAATGTCCCTGGAGGCCTTGGCAGCCACAATGGAAATGGCGTCGCTTCTCAGGTCATAGCCTTCTTTCTTGGCTTCCTCCATGGCCTGGCGATAGAGACTCTGAGGAAAGAAGTAGTAGCTGTTAGATAGGTACTTGGTTCCATTCTAAATTGTATTTTTGTCAAAGGAAGACTAGTTTAGGTTGCAGAACTGCACTAGTATATTTAGCTTTAAATAAATTTAAAAGAGATGTTTTTCTTTTACTTTCTATTTATCCAAGCTATATATTTAAATTGAAATTTTACATTCAGCAGGTTTTAACTCCATAAGTTCTCTTTGCATAAATTCTTATAGATTTTAGATATTGACTCAGTAGCTCTCAAATGTGTTTGGGTTGTTTAGCACTTGCTCGTCTCGTGAAGCAAGCAAGCAACAGTGATTTATTTAACTCCAAATTTGAATTAGGAACAATTTTACTAGCAAAGAATATGATTATATAATGCCATGCAATATTGATACTACCACTATAAGTATGTTTGTATAGTTAAACACTGCTGAACTAAAGATAATCAATACACTTTTTCTGAATGTCTTTGTTAACGTTGATTTGCTCCCTATTTATTCATTTGTCAACTGCTGGAAATTTCTAGCAGACATGGGGATAGCAGATATCAAAGATTCATGAGTCAAAAACACAAAGCTGATAAAATTTTTCATTTGTTAATTTTTTTCTGTGAATTGGAAAAACATCCATTGTTGAGGCTGTATAAAAACAAAATCTTAAATGAAAGGAAAATCCTTTAAAAGTGTGGCAGAAATAATGAAAACTAACTGTTTCATTTTTATGTCCCATTCTCAAAATTAAATTGAATTAAGAATGCAGTAATAATATCTGGTTTGGAATATGCTGCAGAGATGCTTAATTTTTAAGCAACTTAAGAGTCCTATAGTGATGTTATTGTGTGTGACAACTTACATTCTTTTTAAGATTAGATTTTACAAGGAAGCAAAGTGAAAATAAGAACAAATTTGATATATTTGAGATAAAGTGTCATGGGCATTTGTTCTTATTAAAAATTTCTAGAAATATTTATTTTGTAACTGGAGAGTCAAATATTTCATCTAGTATATTTTTTCTTTGAGGAATTTGTCCTTATGAATAAGTGGAAAAATATGTGCTCAAATCATCTCATGGCTTCAAACCAAATAGATTTCTTTCATTCTTTCAATATTTGAAAAAGAGGCAGAACTTTAAAGAAGAGGACATTTTTAATTATCATCAAGGCTACGTTATAAAGCTTCTTTGGTAAGTTATTAACTCAAGAGAACTAAACAGGTAAATGAGAATAAGAGGAAAAAATAAGATGATGTTGCTTGGTTTTGTTTATATTTATTGAGCGAAGTATAGAATGAAGGTACCAATGGTAATGGGTTGAGAAGAAATTTAAGTAGGCCATTCTGAAATCTAATCTTCAGAAGACAGTCCTTAGGGAATTAACATTATCATGCAATTTTAAAGAAAGTACATCCAGCTGAAATTTTTAGAAATAAAAATAGCCCAATTTCCTCTAGCAGTCTGAAAAAAACCTATCTCATCTGACCTAATTTTAGCACAAGGGAGAGGCTTAAAAGTGTCTTTACAGTTTGGGACAAAAACTGACATCATCTGCCTTGGGTGAGACAGACATCCTGGGAAAATTTAATCCAACAGAGAGGCTTTGTGGCCAAGAAAAAATTTGCTTACTCAAAAATGATTGTAGCCCAGGTCAATCAAATACTTCTGATAAGGCGTGGGTCTGCTTTATAATGCTAGAGAAAGGGAAATTGTATTCTCTTCATTTCCCTTGTCTTTGATATAAGCATGCCTCTTCTTTAGGGGTACATTATAGGCAAAAGTAATTAACACGGATAAAATAATGAATAGGGCCAAGTCTTGAAAAATGAGTACTTAAATTTCCCAGTGTTCTCAAACTGAAGAAAAGTCTGCCTCCCCGTCTTCTTTTTTTAAACGAAGACACACACACACATAAGAAATTAGAATTCTTCTTGGATAAACCAGATAATTCTTAATTTTGTCATAAAAAAATTGGGCAAGAAGCTGCTTCTACAGCAGTATTTCTGGACTGCAAAGATATGTGATGACAAGTTTAGCTGGAGATAGCGCATAAAAGAATGTATTTTACTGTCCTGGGGCAATTCTGATATGGATGAATTTAAGAATTCCCATTTCAGCTCTTATAAGTAAACCTCGAGTTATTTTGAGCATATGAAATAAATCTAATTTTCATGGTGACTTTAGTGTGAAGAGAAAAAGTTAATTAAGCAAGTATTCTGTTTCAGGCTCCACACTGGGCATATTATATGTATGATTACATCACAGAAATTTTTTTTTCACTATTGTTTTTAATTATTTATTTCTTTTAGTTACACTTGACATTCATTATTATTTTGTATTTGTTGTAGGTGTATAGCATATGGTTAGACATTTATATAATTAATGCAGTGATTTTCCCCCAATTAGTCTAGTATCCACCTCGCACTATACATAATTGTTGCAACATTATTGACTATATTTCCTATGCTGTACTTTACATCCCTGTGACTATTTTGTAACTATCAATTTGTATTTCTTAATCCCTTCATCTTTTTCAACCAGCTCCCCAGTCTGCCACCCTTCTAGCAACCAGAAATTCTTCAAGACAGGTATTTTTATCCTATTTTACAGATAAGGTAACTGAAGAAAAGCTCACAGAACAAATTTTGAAGTAAGTACTACTATCATAAAAAGCAATAACTATTTTTTAATTAAAATTGCAATACGTTTCAATCATTAATAGTTGACTTTGAGAGCCGTTTTCTCTGCTCCTCACATGGAGATACTTTTGTATTTTTCTATTTCTCTATCTTTCTATCTATCTACTTTTTGAATACAATAATACACATATGCAGGGTAAGGTAATGGGCATAAGAAAAACAAAACTAAACTATGGTCCACAGGAGAATTAAATCCATAAATCTGATCTTTCTACTACATCAGCAAAAATCTACTACATCTACTAGATCAAGGAAAAGTGGTCTTACCTCACTGTAATTTATTTTATTTTGTCTTGCTAACGTAATTTCAGGTGTATCAGGCATGATATGGATTTGGGTCTTGTCTTTGTCCCAGGCTTCTGTGTATAAGCGCTGTGAAGGATAAAAAGGTTATTGAATTAGAAATACAATGTTTGCTGCATACAGGATTTTCCAATTTAGAGATCAGGACCAAGTTGAAAGCCAGTCCCCTCACTATCTGTGCTGTGTGCTGTATACCAACATTCTTTAATCTCTTTAAAGAATTACAAGATATTTATTGTCACTAGAGATAAGTGTAGACTAAGATATGACCAGTAAACCTGTGTTTCATTATAAGACCACATCCACTCCAATTAAATTAAAAACAAGTATTTTCCAAGCATATATGCACATCCATATGTACTGTGGTTATATAAACAAGCCCTACCCATGGTTTTGTTTGTTTGCTTGTTTATTAATTGCAAATGTACCTGGATATGCCATCTCTTGATTTCTTTTTGATAAATGTTATAGAGATTTGCATTTGACTTGTTTGTTCTATACTTACTTAGATAAGTACCCAACAAGGAAGAAACCTTGATACAAGCCATGTATAACTCTCATAGATAGACACCAAACAATTTGTACACCAAACAGCTGTCCTATTCTTAACTCTGGCTATTTCACAAGAAATGTCAAAGCAGAAATTCCTATATATATATATATATATATATATATATATATATATTTTTATATATATTTTTTTTTTTTTAGCTGAGCCATCCTGCCACCCATTGGCAGCTCAGCTCGGGCCAGGCATCGAACTGCTGTTGCTCAGGGCTTGCACTCTTAAACGAGCTCTTAACCAACTGAGCCACTCGGTCAGCCCCCTACACATATTTTTGGAACCCTAATGTAACTGAATAGAAAACTCAACCAAATCGCTATACATACAATGGCAATTGGATAAAACCAAAAAAGAGTAACTTAATTATAATTATTCTCAAGGACTTACAGCCCTGTTTTACTTTCCCCCAAATTGGGGGCTCACCTTGTTCATGGTGATGGCATTGTTCTTGGCCAGCACCTGCTCCAGGGAATCAGTCACACTGGTAAATTTCAGCTTGTCTGGAGGCTGGCGGTACAGGTTGTCACTCAGTATCTCTGTGGCTCTCTGGCACTTGACCACATCCAGAGAGCCAATGGGGACCCAGCCAATGCCTTTCATCCACTGGAGATCAGCTTTATACATGTTCTGGTGAGATAAACACAAAAGCAAGTTTTACTAAAGCTGTTCAGACACTTGATTTCAAAAATGAAAGAAAAAGGCTGGAAAACTTGGATTGCCAAACTTCATGTCTTTTACAATATGAAGCCCAATTGGATATAGCTTCATGGTATTATATTCTCTCTAAAAGAAAAGCAAGGCACAGTGAATGAGAGGTGGAGAGAAAAACATGTTATTCTTTCTGAGAGCTTTACCTGATCCGAGACCATTACCTATGTATTACTACTATCATGAGTGTGGTCACCAGTGGTATTTAACGGGTCTCAGTACTCACATCGCTCTGCAGTTCATAGGCCTGCCGAGCATGGATGACGTCATTCTGGTCGGGCAGGCAGGTCCACTCGTGCAGGTAGTTCTTATAGTCCACGTCACTGACCAAGCTCTGGCACTTCTTGGCCAGGACCACCCCCAGCATGTCCACTGGGCTGCTGTACTTGGTCTTCCACTTCTCAAAGTCTTTCTTATACTCCCTGTCACTCTGGATCTTGGCCACATGCATGGACCACATCATCTTAGGGTCATCCTTAATGTTCCGGGCTCCAATGTGGTGGCCGAGCTGCTTACGGTAACCATCTTTGTATTTATACTGAAATAAAAGCAGTCATTTAAAAATATAAATAAATAAAAAGGGTGACAGGTCTTATTAATTTAAAATGTCATTTTAAAATTGGTAATTCTTGCAGAGAAATGGAATCATCTGAATATCAACTTATCTCCTTATTCTAAACTCTCATTAGACTTCACAGCAATCCTCTAATGGGAAGATGCGCCAAACATAGTATTATGGTTTGCAGACATTAAGTCCCTAGAAATAAATGCAGCAACACATTTTAGAAAATCAATCAGAATTATATGCTGCCTTTTCTTCATCTTGAACCAATGAAATCACTAACTCAGAAGTTTTACATATGAGTTTGAGATTTACTCCTGAGTCTACAGGTACCATTTCACCCTCCAGCCCACCCATCAGTCCTCTCAAATCTGACTTTGCTGACTTTTACTGGGTCACTTGACTCCCTGAAATGGACTGGTTTGTGTTTCCCATCCTGCGTGCCCTGCTCTATCAGAGATCAAATTTGGCTGAGGTTTGCTGGAGTTAATTGAGAGAACAAGCAGATTACATAACTATAGGAGAGCATGTTGGTGGTGGGTAAGTGCTGACTCAGGATATTTTCTCTCCAATTTAGGCAACAATATCACACAAACCCTAATGTATATTTACAGAAGTCTGAATTCTCCACTAAAGGACCCACTTCCTTGAGAGACAGCAAAAAGAGAAATCAGGCTCACCACTTTATTGTTTTGGTTTTTCATTGTTTTTCTCTTTTTGTTTAAAAAGAACTCAAAAGGAAGCACTTAAGGTAGTTTCTTAATGAAAGAGTTGGCAAAAACCCGGAGCAAGTTTGGGGAAAGACGCCTTTTCCTGGACTTGGCTGTACCAGGTCTTTTGCTGATGTTGAACCACATGTAACCAAATTATTTTTTTGTAACTTTTCTGGCGTTTTCTTATTTCTGTGTGGGCTATGTGCTCAAAATATGGAGATGAATGCTTCATATTTGCAGATATGAACAACTGTAAATTGAAATTCAATTTTTATACTGAAGTTTAGATGACCCCTCCACTTATGGGACCTGAATATTAAAGTCTTTTAGAGTTAAAAAATATGAAATAACTTTTTCAAATGAAAAACATTTCTTTCACTTAAAGCACGTAAGAGTGCTTGAACTACCATCCAGATGCACCTTCCTGTTGTGATAATGACCGTGTCCCCCTTCCCCATCCAGCCATGTACATACATGGAGTGTTGCTACTCACATCACTGACGATGTCCCTGGAGGCCTTGGCTGCCACAATTGGGATGGCATCGCTTCGCAAGTCATAGCCTTTCTTCTTTGCTTCTTCATTGGCGAGTTTATACAAAGTCTATAGAAAGAAAGTCAGAGTTAAAGCAAAAGACTTGACAGAAATCATTTGGAGATTATCAAAAGACATATACCACATCACGTAAAAAAGGATAGGCTCTAGAAACCATTTAAAATTCTAGCAATATTGGAAAGTAAATAAATTACATCTTCCCCAAAAAACTATATAGCATTAGAAACAAATGAGATATAACAATTGGTATTAACATAGATTGATATATTTATCTATTATTAATCTATAATGACATATAATAGATTAATATATATCATATATACATTAATATGATATATTATGCATAATGTCATAGATTAATATAATCTAGTAATATAGATGGATGGACAAAGCATTAATCTATACATATTTCTAAGTCAAAAAAGAAATTGCAGAACAATGTTTATTTGCTTATAAATATATATTTATATACTTTTATTCATTTCTTTATTACTTAAAATTTTTTGACAAACATAACATTTTATAACGTTTAAAAACAGATGAGAAAAAGATTGAAGTACAATTTAAAACATAGATAACTTGACCATAGTCACAACTTTGTTTCTAAATTTTAGCTATATCATATTAGTAAAACATGAACCTATAAAATTGCATTTTACTTAAAAAAAAAACATCAAACACAATAATCAGTGTTGTTCATGGAGAATACTTCTTCCTATGCCTGAGGTTTTCCTTCTACGAAAGGAGCTCAATTATTTTATCTCTGGCCTTACTCCTTTCTCCGTGCCTTTACTCTCTCTGCCCCTGGAAAGGAGCAGTGATTTATTGATTTATCTAACTGGTAGGGGTGGGATAACTGGGCATGCCCAGCTCAGCTCTGACCTGCGCCCTCTAGAAACAAGCTCAGTGTCTTCCTCTGTTTCCCTGGCCTCTGCACAGGAACTCACTCCCGAATGGAGTGGAGATGATTGTCCTGCTCCAGTGTGGCCTATGCTTGCTTGGGTGGGGAAACCAATTCTGGAGTTCAGTTAGCAGCTTATTTGACTCTCATACAAATGTATCTTTGAATCTAATTTTAGTAGTAAAAAATGTGAGATTTTGACTTCTATTTCTATTCCTTTGTTTTACTTCTCAATTTTATTCAGGATCCAGGTGGGGAAAAGGTACATATTATTAGAGAATCCCTTAAGAGGGTGGCTAGATTTAGCAAAGAGAAAGATAGCATGCCCAGTTGAACTTAAATGCCAGATAAACAACACGTAGTGTTTTAGTATAAATATTGAGCCAGTATTTTATCTGGCTATCCTACCTCTTAGAAATGCCAAAAACGCTACTCAGTCCCACTGACTTAAACTGGCTATGTCCATAAACGGAAAAGACAATGTGATTCCAGTTTGCCCGTGGAATCTTACAGCATATAATGTGCAACCCAGAGGTGAAAGGTTGAATGGGCTGTGTTCGTATTATGGAGCTGCATGTACCATGATAGTGGAGGCCCCTGCATCTCCATAAAAGCAAGCGTAGAAAAACAAACAATAACACCAACAACAAAATAAGTGTAGCCCCACAGAATTTTTCCCCTACCTCACTGTAGTTGAGTTTATTCTGCTTTGCCAACAGGATCTCCGGGGTGTCGGGCATTACATGAATTTGAGTCTTGTCTTTGTCCCAGGCCTCTGTGTATAAACGCTATCAAAGAAGATATTGATGAAAAATAATTTGAAATAGGAATTACAAAAAGTCAAATCAAAGCAGGATTTTTATTGATCCAATTAAATGAACCATACTGGGATATAAGGTATTCAACTGGAGGTTTGAGGTTTGTTTTTATTTTTTAATTGGGGAACGGTGTGCCCCTCCAGGACCCATCAGCTTCAAGTGAAGTAGTTGCTTCAATCTAGTTGTGAAGGGTGTACCTCAGTGGCCCACGTGGGAATCAAACCAACAACCTTAGTGTTATGAGCACTGCGCTCTAGCTAACTGAGCGAACCGGCCACCTGAAGGTTTGAGTTTTAATGCTAGTTATCAAGGTGAAAACTGGGAATAACTGAAATTATTTAGAGGCTTTCAAGTATGTAATTCAGAAGGTAAATGTGACCTCACATGTTTATAAACAATTATAACTGCTAGTCATTAAAGTATAGTTTACAACATCTTTTGGCATCTTGGAGAAGCTTGGGGTAGCTGGGGCTCACCTTGTTCCTGATGATGGCATTGTTCTTGGCCAGCACCTGCTCCAGGGAATCAGTCACACTGGTAAATTTCAGCTTGTCTGGAGGCTGGCGGTACAGGTTGTCACTCAGTATCTCTGTGGCTCTCTGGCACTTGACCACATCCAGAGAGCCAATGGGGACCCAGCCAATGCCTTTCATCCACTGGAGATCAGCTTTATACATGTTCTGGTGAGATAAACACAAAAGCAAGTATTACTAGAGCTGTTCGGACACTTGATTTCAAAAATGAAAGAAAAAGGCTGGAAAACTTGGATTGCCAAACTTCATGTCTTTTACAATATGAAGCCCAATTGGATATAGCTTCATGGTATTATATTCTCTCTAAAAGAAAAGCAAGGCACAGTGAATGAGGGGTGGACAGAAAAACATGTTATTCTTTCTGAGAGCTTTACCTGATCCGAGACCATTACCTATGTATTACTACTATCATGAGTGTGGTCACCAGTGGTATTTAACGGGTCTCAGTACTCACATCGCTCTGCAGTTCATAGGCCTGCCGAGCGTGGATGACGTCGTTCTGGTCGGGCAGGCAGGTCCACTCATGCAGGTAGTTCTTATAGTCCACATCACTGACCAAGCTCTGGCACTTCTTGGCCAGGACCACCCCCAGCATGTCCACTGGGCTGCTGTACTTGGTCTTCCACTTCTCAAAGTCCTTCTTATACTCCCTGTCACTCTGGATCTTGGCCATGTGCATGGACCACATCATCTTAGGGTCATCCTTAATGTTCCGGGCTCCAATGTGGTGGCCAAGCTGCTTGCGGTAACCATCTTTGTATTTGTACTGAGGTGAAAAATGCACAAATCAGGTTTTTATTGGAAGCCCTCAGAGGCCACAAGTCCATAAAAAAATCATTGTACTTACATCACAATTGTAACTTGTAAACTGACTTTCGTTAACAAACACTAAATCAAGCCAGTATCCTAACCTTTTCCCTAGAGGTAGTTCAATAGATGTCATCAGTATAACTGTGGTGTAAACCCCAAATCACCTATATCATAGAAATAAGGAATAGTTCTGGAAGCAGGAAGTGCACACAGTGGGGAAAGGTCACCTGTGGAAGTGGGGGAGAGGCCATTTGAACGAGGAAACTTGGAGAAATGGATTATGTGCTAAAAGCATGTCAGGAAAGAGATGCATTTGGTGACATGGTGTGTTTAATAAGTGGTGAAATGACTGGTTCTTGCAAGGGTGAAGTACCCTAGGTCAAGGGCTACCTGCAGTAGCAACAAAAGGAGAACTTACTATTTCATAATAGATCCATGCATTCATTCAGTGGTGGCGGCAAATGTTTGGCATCACTTTGAAACCTGATTGAACTGGTAAAGCTGATGTAGCAGCCCAAATGGGTAGAGTGTGCTCCTAAATCTAGTCCTGGTTCCCCATTGGCCAACAGTGTTTTTATTACTCCATATCTAATGGCTTCATCCTGGAATCTGAGCCAATTATCCAAATACATGCTTCTAGTCTCAAAGATTACCGAGAAAGTATGGATGAGTCAGCAGGAGGCAGTATGGTAGAGTGGAAAGGAAAGAGGTGTTCTGGAGTTTCAACTCCGCCACCTACTAAGAGTCTGATTTTAGAAAAGTTGCTTAAGCAAGCCACAAAATGGGGATAATGATGATATTTACTAGGGTTTATTATGTGAGGGTAATATGAAGAGTCAGTGAAATAATACATGTGAACCTCTTAGCACAGAGTTCTCAATACCTTTCGGTTATTATTACTTCATTGTTATTATTGGCATAAATCCATTTGTAGGGAAGGTCCCACATACATAAACTAAAGGGAGTCATTAACATGATTTTCCAATATAAAGGGGAGTGTATTACTATATTTCTGAATAGTGGGCCTTGATTTTTTAAAGCAGTGGTCTATTCCTCAAGAATCCCCAGAGGCACAGGAAAGGATGATGGCTTTATTCTGGGAGGTATGAACTATACAGCCAGGAGCTATTGTTAAGGGTGTGAGCTTGGGCTAGTAACCACTGCTGGTACTGATCAACTGCCTTCTTTTCGTAATCTTATAGGGTGAATTGTAATGCAAGTGTCACATGCATTTTTTAAAATACTGCATATTAAAATGCTACGTAAACCAGATCCTGATTCTCATTGGAAGAACTTATGTTTGTTTGTTTGTTTGTTTGTTTGTTTTTTATTTGGGAACAGTGTGTTTTTCTAGGCCCCATCAGCTCCAAGTCAAGTAGCTGTTTCAATCTAGTTGTGGAGGGCACATCTCAGTGGCCCATGTGAAAATTGAACCGGCAACCTTGGTGTTATGAGCACCGGGCTCTAACCAACTGAGCTAACCAGCCACCCCAAGAACTTACGTTTTTGAGTTACACTTTCTATAAGCACTGTGATATCTCTTATATAAGCTTCTCCAAGCCTGCAGCCACACTCTAACACATGAATGGATCTTTTTCTAGTCTTGGTAGACCAGTTTTAACTGAAGCTTCTGTGTCCTGAAGTTTACAAGCCCCTTTTATGAACAATTTTTCATTTTTCTCAAAACTAGGTGTTGTTCACAATGGCGCTGTTCTTGGCCAGCACCAAAAATATCAGGATCTATTTTTAAAGGGCCAGGAAAGTTTTTTTTAAAGATGTAGTTCAAGGAAGATGTCACTTCTTACTGATCACATACTTGAAATAAAATTGACAACTCACATCACTGGCGATGTCCCTGGAGGCCTTGGCTGCCACGATTGGGATGGCGTCGCTTCGCAAGTCGTAGCCTTTCTTCTTTGATTCTTCATTGGCGAGTTTATACAGACTCTAAATTTGGACAAAGAGATCGTTAGATGTTGACATTCCTATCCAAAAACTGACAGGATGCTGAAATAATTCACTAAGTTCTACACAAATAGGCAACTATAATAATCTTACTAAGCCTTCTGCATTTTTAGTTTTTGGTGACAATTAAGAGCTAGTTATACAAGCACTAAAATTATGGTTTGCAAGTCCCCCAAAATAAAATGACTTAAGATGGTGGCTAATCTATCTAAATTCTCTAAGTGATATTCTGCTGAAGAGTAATATACTGTTGATTTATGCTGTCAAACAAACAGTATTTTCCTTGCTGGTAGCACAAAGCTGGGAGAAATAATGTATCATCTGACAGAATCCCAGAATCATGAAAAGCTCCAAAGGCTTACACTAATAAACTCAATCTAAGAAAAAGAAATTGCAGAGAGATAAATGTCAATCTTTGAACTAAGATTTAAATTGCCAAATGTATAAATACAGGCCAGAGGAAACCTAGCTTAAGCCCATGTAAGATGTCTTGAGGTTTCAGCTGATCCCAAGTTCCATGTCCACCAGCAGGGACATAGCTGCCAATGCTAGCTGAGGCACAAGGTGCAGCAATGGACATCAAATATCCAGAAAAGGAAATAGGATGTTAACCACACTCTACATTGATCATTCCTTACTCGCTAGATTTTGTTTGGTCCAGAGAGTCACATTCAAACAGGCATGTTGTGTGAGGAATGCCTAGGAACTTGGATATTTGGTTTAGAAAGAGAACTTGGGGTGAGGTGGCAGGGGAAGTGCCATACGTAGTTGCTATCGCCATCTCCGTGGAGTTGGCACAGATTGTTCTGCTTCGCCTCAGAGGACTATGTGGGTCTGTAGAGAGAAATCTTTGACACAATACATTAGACGCACCTTTTAATGGAATTTTCCAGAACAAATGGGTTGATTTATGGGACAAGCTCCTTGTCACAGAGAACACTTAAGGAAAAGCAGGGTAACTGCTTATTGGGTGAGGACTCCTGTACTAGAAGAGAGGCTGACCTCTCATCTCAGCCTAAACACTTGTGCTTTTGAAATGGGGATAGATGGCCCTATATTCACAGAAAGTGAAAAGGAAATGAGCTTGCTAATTATCTACAGTGACAGATCCTCTGTCTCTCTCTTTCTCTGTGTTATTTGATAGTACTACTGTGATTTTAGTCCTTGACATAATCCTATACATTTAAAAAAAAAATCTTTTTTGTAATGAATTTTTTTACTCCTCTTTTTTTAAACTAAAAATCTTAAATTTTGACCCTAAACTATAATTTAGGAAAAATAAATTATATAGGAAAATATATAGCTTTGTAGCATAAGGAGGAAACAAATGTATATTTGGTCTACTGCTAATTTCCTACCTTAAAAAAATTAATAAAGGAAAAGGTCTAATTAATTTTATGGTTACTGCTTACATCACTAATTCTTATAATTTGTATTTCCTAAATGATGACTTGTGTTACCCGAAGTTTGATGTTTAGGATGGTGATTAGGAAATGCCAGGTTGGTATTCACATGGAGTAAGAAAAGAGGCTCTTTATAAAGCTGATATCACCATGGAATAAATTAATTGAAGTAAGAAACGTCATGCAAATGGCATAGAATTAGCATCTGCTCCCACCTCACTATAGTTGATTTTGTTCATTCTTGCCAATGTAATTTCTGGTGTGTCTGGCATGATGTGGATCTGAGTCTTGTCTTTGTCCCAGGCTTCTGTGTATAAACGCTATCAAAGAAAATATATAATATCATCAGGAAAACAATTCAGTGTAAAATTAATAGGAATTCTAGGCCACAAGAACTTTATAAACAAAAATAACACAAGGTTATGCATTTTTATACACGTTAAGTATTTTATAAACATCTTCTTCAAGTGAAGTAATCAGTTCAGAATAGTGCAGACATTTAGAAATACTTTCTGATAATCTGAAATGTATATTAACAAAAGGAAATTGAGAATATCTTTTGTTCAAAGA